ATTTAACAGTTAATCAAGGTCATATCCAACCAAGGCTAAACAAATGTGAGTTTGGTAAATCACTGATTGAAACGTGAACGACAAAAAACAACCAGATATGACAGGCATACACAAGACATATGCAGATAGTTAACAAGTCTGTTGAGTTATTGTTGCGTGTTTGTGTTACATAGAACTGTCGTCCTACACGGAGGAGAACGCGTTGGAACCGAGCAAGGCGAGCTGGTAGAGAGAGCGATGCGTCGCCATGGTGAAACGGCAAGCAATTATGCAGCAGACGCCTGGAAGCGCTAGACGAGGATAATCCCAGGGTTCTGTTTGCTATGACAGTATAGACCGATTCCTACGGCCGGTTTGCTGCCATCTTGTGGTGGCGGTCATTACTGAGCAAGAGGGAGAGGAGACGGACACGGCCTCCCATAGAGTGCCCCAGTGAAGAGCTAGACTAACGAGGGCCCCGTTGAAAGAGAGGCTCACATGTATTAATGAGGGATGAGGCATATCATCCTGCTACATATCACAAAGTTAATTTGGCTGCTGTATGTTCTTTTTAAGCCAAAGAAAGTATTTTTGAAAGTCTGTTGGTTCTCCTAAAGTTGTTCTCTTATTATGACACTCTGTCACTTGGTCACTAGAAAAAGTGTGCCTGAGTGGGGAGGGCTGCCTCCTTTTACTCCAGGGGGCCAGGGGCTCACAGAAGCACTTTCGAGACTGCTTTTTTTCCCCCTAAAAGTGCTATAGCTAAGCCCAGCCGTCATCACCTCTTTGTACAGTCATATTGATTCTGCGTCGGTGTAGTATTGGAGTCCCCGTCTGCGAGTTCACTTTGCAATTGAAGCCCGTCTCCCATTTTCTTGGACGTGATCCCAGAATGTAATGGTGAAAAGGGCGCACGCTGAAAATGGTAATCGTTGGACCTGTAAAAAGAGAAGTGGAAGGCAGAAAAAAATAATTTAAAATGATTATAAAACTTTCGGAAAAGTAGATTTGCCTTCACCGTTTTTGTTTATCTAACGCTAACTGCTCAGCTCGCTGTGTGTTTGCAATTGCGCGAAACTGTGTTCACATACCCGAGCAAAAACATTTGCTGTGATGCTTGTGCATGTGCACGAGAAGCCACTCCCGGTGTGCTTTGACGAGATTACGTCACACACAGGACCGGCTTTCTCATTGTCGTCTTTAATGTATTTTTAATTTCCCATGAAGTAACGTCAGTCCTCTGTGAATGGTACTCGATAAATGGCTGCCTGTGAGAACATCAGTCAGCCTAACAAGAGCGAGGGAGCTTCTTTTGTAGGCAGCTGCTACATGTTTACACACACATACACACATACACACACACACCTACGCACAAAGTCTCATTAACCAACCTAATGCTGCATATTCCTCCAGAGGGATCAGACAAGAAGTGTTTACCTGTTCCACTGGTGACAGCAGATACACTTGCATTCATACAGGGCTGACGTGCATGCAGACACTACACTAAATGTAAGGAACTGCATCATTTCCTCATGTGGCAAGTAAATTACAGCTGTTACAAACATAAGTAATGACATTTGAAATCTAATGAAAGCACTTTGTGTATATATATATAAGCGCATATATATATTCCCTTTTTGTATTTTTTGTATGTATTCATTTTATCTTGGGGGTTCAGGGTTGGGCTGGGCTGGCTGAGCATCTCTGTGGTCATATATTCTACACAGTTGTTGATACAGCCCTTGGATTGTTGTCACTTGAGGCATCTCATGCCTGGCGAAAAACTGCCACACTCAAAGCTTGTGATCCGATCACCCAGGCAGCACGTTTGTTCCTTGCTTCAATAAGGGTTTTAGAATCATGGCATGCTAGCTACAAATAACTCTGAGGAGAAAACTAAGACTCAAGCAACGCCTTTGTGAGACTGCTGTGAAGCCGACGTCGGCCTTATGCAGGTCAAACTATTAAAAAGGGACCTCTATCAGAGACAGAAGAGAAGAGATTGAGCAGCTGATTTTCACCCTCAGCATATCTCATAAATACTCAGTGAGAGCTGCAAACAGCCCTACATCGAGTTCACAAACTTGGAGGGAAAAAAAAAGCACACAAACACACTTGACACCTCACTCAAAGCATTATGTTATATATAGGATTTATTTACACTTTGTATTTACATATTTATGTTCCAAAATCTTCTCTGTACACATTTTTAAATTCAACAGCCAGGGCTTTTAGTCACCCACAATCTGTAGAAGTATTAGATTTTTCTGAGGACTCAAGAGGCAAAAGACACGGGGGGATAATTTTGTCACAAACACAATTTTCCTGTCTTGAGAAGTAGAGTGAAAAAAAACAGGACAAACATTTTAGTAACTGAAAAGGTTTCTTAAGGGTAAGCTTCTGAAGATGCTCCAAAGAATGTTTGAAGTGTGTCTCTGTCTGTGTGGTGTGAGATGATCAAAAAAAAAAAAAAGGGCTCCAACCAGCTATCAACGTGGCCTTTGTTACCATGGAGACATAAGTGTTGAGTGACAGTGAGATAAAGGAAGGCTAACTTTACCATGGTAACATGTGAACCAGTGTTTTTGATGATTAATAAGCCATTTGAATCAAATTTCCAAAATATCAAATCATTCACTGGCACGCACGCACGCACACACACACACACACACACAATACAGCCGATGATAATCTCAAACATCATTTGCTTTTCTTTCATCTGAAACATGACATTGTTGGCTAATGAGGCTCTCTTTGGCTCTGAAAATAACTCTGTTATTACATATTAACTTGGCTGGACATAACAAATGCAACTTTAAGTTAATGCTTATCCCCATTCATTCAATTTGGGGAGTTTTGATTGGAAGGGTCACCACAATCCAACCATGTATAATGTTGACTTTCCCTTCAGGCCAGTTCACACTGCTTCAACATGTGGGCAAATTCAGAGCACTACAAGCCATCTGTGCCTAGTTATAACAGTCGCTATCGAGGGTGGATTAAGAAAACCACCAATTTGCAAGTAAGAACTGTTAAATGCTGTCACTATGGTAACAAGCACACCCCCAAAAAAACGGATTTGCACAAAACGTTAATTTCTATCTTTTACGAGTAAGAAAAAATATAAACCCTTTAAAGTTCATTTGAAGTCAAAAACATAACCGAGATGTTGCATTATGTCTTTAGAGTCAGGCACAACTTAATAGATGTGTGTAATGTAAACAGCATAAAAAAATAAAACTAGAAAAGGAAACAAGAGACATCTTTAAAATGACGAGTGAAAGCATATATCCCAAAGAGAGAGAGAGAGAGAGAATATATTGTGTCCCTTGTCAGAGAGCATGGGAGATTAGGAGTCTGTGACACTGGTGCATATTCTGATATGAGGAAAAAAAATCCCAATGTCTGATCAAAGGCCGACAGCTCAGTAAAAAAAAAAAAAGAACTGAAACACGACCCACTCCCTCTCTCCTTCACACACCCACACACCATCTTCATGGACGAGGCTGACAGTGATTGGTTCTGGTGACAGGAGACATTAGCAGCATTGTTAAATGTCATGCCTTATATTAAGACTTTTCATGTGAAAGAACAATGTATGTACCAAAGATGGGATTAATCCAAAGATCCCATTAGCAGTGTTAAACAGGTCAGTCCTGAATAATACGGCAATGGAGCACAAAGTGATTAAAAACTAGAAAATGTAAATGAGTGAGTACCTCTAATGATTCACAGTGGATCAAGTGGTGAGCTGGATACAGACTCATTCTAATTGCCCACTTTCATCCAAGTTTTTTTTTGTTAATTTTGTAGTCGGGATACACATGATACAATTAGCAGGACGTAGATCAACAATGTGCGATTTCTTTTTAATGATGCGAGATTATGAGAGAGGCAACAACAACCCCCCCCCGTGTACCTGCTGCTTCTTATGTTTTAAAAAAAAAAGGCAATAAATGAACAGCATTGAAGGCCTTCATTTTGAAAGGAAGGACTACAGAATCCTATTCATAGCAAAGTGTCAAAAGCTCTTTCCACCTTCTAGCCAACATATTAGAAAGTTGTCTGTCATTGTAGTGCATGTTGGCTTTGTGCACACATGGAACTCGAGTCCACATGATAGAAAGAGAAGGGGGAAAAAAACTGTCCACAGGGGATGTGTCAAATTTCTGATTCAAACAGCAAATATGTGATATGTGCTTTGTTGGTTATTGAGTGGACTTTTAATTTTCACTGGTTTGTTAATGTGTGTTATGAGGTAGTCATGGCTTCCTTTAAAAAGAAAGAACTGGCCCTTCATAAGCAGATCTAAGGCTAGAGAGTGGTAATAAGTAGATATCTAGTTCCTAATGGCTTCCTGCTTCTTGTTTTTCCATAAGTACAGCTTTCACCTGAACACTGTGATGTAGCCGCCTGGGTGGGAGGACAGAATAAGTGGGGTGGTTGAATTGGTGTGTAGGAGTTGTGGGAAAAAAGACAGACAATCCTTCCTGTCAAAGACTGATGATCTCTCTCTGAAGAGTTCTAGTTTCCCCTTGGTGAAACCCATAGGGTAAGAGAGAAAACCAAAGCAGGGGAGAGGAGAGGGCTCTGATATTTAAACCAGACAGTACCCTTTTTGCCATCTTTCATGGCCTTTGTTTTTTTTTTTTTAAACTGAGAAAGGGTAACATCTTTGCCTCTGTGTAAAAAAAAAAAGAAGAAGGCATAGAACTAAAGATAAAAATCAAAAAGCAGAAAAGAACATTTAAGTATAAGCTCACCAAACTCCAACAAAAGCATGTGGAATTCAGTGATACAAGGGCTCTGTATGGAGCTGAAGGAGTGCAAATTTCAGAGGTGATCAGAGAACAATAATTTAAAAAAAAGAAAAAAAAGAAAAGAAAGGCTCAACATCGTTATGTTAGAATGCTACACCGCATGTCCTCTCAGTCATTGTTTTTGATTTAAATCTCTTAGTAGCTGAAAGGGGGATAGGGAGGTTAAGAAAAACGAGGTCCCTCCAGGTAAGGAACGGGGGTCCTTCCAAGTTCAGTAGGCGACTGCAGGGCGGGAGAGGTGGAGGTGGGGAGCAGCAGCTGCACAAAGAGATTCCGCTGATCATCTCTTGTAGTGGTTGGGCGCATCGGCGAAGGCGAACTTCAACCTGTAGGCTTCAGCCAGCAGCACGCTCACTTCCTCGTTTCCCCAGTGCATTGTTGGAAGGTTCTGCAGGAGGATCATCAGACCCTGTTGTGGGAAAAAGAAAGCGAAATTGTTTAGAGAAATGGCAAATGGATAGGTCTTAAAGTGGCCGTTTGACAGACAATACATGGAGTTATGTATATATGCTGTTTTGTATGGTAAACAATTAAGACACCATACCCAAAGACATGTAGAGACAGCAGAAACACAAGTGCACGCCATCATGCTCCACCATGCGTACAAACCCATCGTGACTGAGGAGCTTCATTAAGAGCATGTTTCTGCATGCTAACCATCTGCTGGCTCTCAGTTCTGTCGGGGTTAATGACTTTAGTATGGTTTAATTGCATAGATTTCAGTCGCTGAATTCTACACTCACTTGGCTGCACACAGGTGGATAGGCTCCACGTTGAGTGGACACAAGTGTCTGTGGAAACTAGTGAGTACGCATAAGATAATCATTAAGGATCTGTGGAATTGAAGAAGTTCAACGTGTGTGTACGTAGCATACTGAATGTTCAGGGGTTGAGAAAGGCTGTGAAAAAAAAAATAAATGGAGATTGAATTAAAGTGTTTTGATTTGTGTATCCAGGATGCATGCATTGTAGGTATTTTTTTTAAAGAAACTAACAAAGGATGTTTTAGTTAACTGAAACTGAAGTAAAACACAAAAGCATGAAGCTGTGTTTGTGTTTTTGTAGCTTTCCTTGCTGTGTATGTTCATCAGTGTATTGGCCTATCATCAGGCATGACTAATAAGTTACACAGCAATGCAATCCAAACCACTGATCTGCCATTTCTGACTGCAGTACAGGCAATTAGCTCTCGATCTCCTACACTTGGCGAGGTTTAAAGTAGTTAATGGCTGTGGATGCTCTAAAGAGTCTGTGCTCGGGCTTTCCTTCAGAAAGTCTGTAGTTTAACAAAATGGTTACGCCAAGAGCCAAAGCCACGGTCAAGTGAAATATGCTCGCTGTGTGAATAGTTAAATACTCTTCACTTCACTTTTGAAAGCATATCTCCAATACACTTTTGGAGAAAGGATATAAGCATTGTTGGAATCAACTTAAATGAAATCTCTTGAATTGACATATGATTTGAAGAGTACAATTAGTTTGAAGTGTTAAAGAAAATAATTAAATGAGAGCGACATATTGTAGAAATATTACCTAAATTACTTTTATATACATACAAAGGGCAGCTAAAACACACACTCAGTGATCCAAAGGGTTTATCTGCTGGCACAATTAGAGGGTGCTTAGTGAGGCGAGTACAATGAGTGCCCAAAGTCCAGCAGGTAGTCTTGCTACCTTTTCTAAAGTGTCAACTACAGTTTGTTGCAACAAGCAGTGAAAACCCTGGAGATATTAATGGGAGAGGAATGACAGGTGCAAAAAAACACGCCAACACACGTGTAGCTACAACTGCTAGACTTGTAACTGTTATGTTTCTTTAACATGAATCTTTCCGCCTTTGACCTCCTGCCACCAACATATCTACATGAGCGCACTTAAAAAGGTGAGGTTGCACACACAGACTCTCACCCATGTGCACAAACATTCAAGCTCCCCAGTGGTGGTAATGGTGTTTTGCAGCACCCTTAGGTGTAATGGGCCTAGGCACTGCTCTGTCAGGGCCATTAGCTTGCTGTAGTTTGTATAATTACACAAAATGGGCACTCTGGCAAACAGTGGGTTCTGATGTAGGAGTGGGGCACTGTAGCATGTAGAGTTAAGAGCTGACATGGGATGGCACAGCCAAGTTGTCTTTTCAAAATGTTGACTGTTAAAAAAGCTCAGATGATTATTACAGTTGTAAATGTCTTGCTTTTCCTGTAATGTTACACAGTTGAAGCAGCCACACAGGCTGCTGCTTAGGCATGGCTTCTTACCAGATCTAGAAAACAGGAAGCTTGCATTGTTTGACTGCTAGCTTCTTGTCAATGTCAGGAAAACAAGACGGTGAAATGGTCAGTGTTTAATATGTCACAAAGGAAGACAAACATGAACTTTTTGGTTTTAAATCTGAATGTGTTTACTCTGGCAGAGGATTACAATGAAGGAAGTCCTCTAATGGGTTTTTGTTTCTCATACGATCATGGTGTTTTATTGTTGGGATCATCTTTGTGCTCATGATGGATAGGCCGGATCTTTGTAACATAACAATAAGTAAGGTCTTTTTACCTGCTTTTTGTAACATAACAATGAGTAAGGTCTTTTACCTGCTTTTTGTAATATAACAATGAGTAAGGTCTTTTTACCTGCTCTTTTGTAACATAACAATGAGTAAGGTCTTTTACCTGCTTTTTGTAACATAACAATGAGTAAGGTCTTTTACCTGCTCTTTTGTAATGTTAACAGACAAAGAGGAAGGTATTTTACCTGCTCTTCGTAAAGTGTCTCGAGATAACACTTGTTATGAGTTGACGCTATACAAATAAAAATGTATTGATTGATTGATTTGGAGACAAGTCTGCACACTCTATTTTGGTCATGCTGGGACCCTTGACACTTTCTCCAAAAGACTCTGCTTCTTATATTTGATTCCTGCTGAAATAAATGGGCAAATGTACAGTTTAATGGGCATTTTGGAATTCAAAGGACCGACTTCTAACACACTAAAAAAAACAACCCACAAAGAATGCCTTAACACTTTAACACTGCCGTCACCCTCTACAAAGGTCTATGCCACCCTAATCAAAACTTGAATTGATCAATTTACCACTTACTTCACAATCTGTGAAAAAAAAAACATAAAAGCAAAAATTCCCCAGCTCTTGCTTTGACTATGCAACTGTGAATTTGAATGTAAAATTCAATGCTTATGTCTCAGCTCATGAAACAACCAATTGCATAAATCTCCTTCTTTGTCTTTTACTTAAAAAAAAAAAAATCTATTTCTCACTCTTCTTCTCCTGGGGCCTGTTTTTTTTCCCTTACAAATGGGTCGATATTGTTGTTTATTTTGGGTATGTAGTTATCTTATGAGCTGACAGAGCCACTCCAGTTGTTCTATCCTAGGGCAATTCACTTTTTTCTCTTCCAATATGCTGGGTTTGAGCTTTTTAATGCTTTTGGTAGACTGGTGCCAATGACAAACATTCACTTATATGCATTCAGAGTCACAACACTTTGGAGCATTTAAACCTTGCAGATTGGATCATTCACACATTTTAAGTAAGAGATAAAGGCTCACAATCGAGCACATCAACATACATGAAAGAGTCTAGAGTCTGTGTTTTTTGAGAGGATGTTTTGCAATGACTCTGGTAGTGTTGAAGTCAAGACCACAATAACCAAAACCATGACATACCCGAGACCGGAGTGCTCCGAGACCGAGTCAAGACCAAGACCATAAATATCAACGAAAAATTATCATCTTGTGTGCAGTGTCAATCATTTAGACTGTCACACCAGGAATAGCCTATCAGTGGTGGTCTTGACTTAAAATCCGGAGTACGAGACCAAGACCGATTTCGTGTACTACAACACTAGACCCTGGTAGTGTGTGCTAGTAGAAAAGACTAACAGGACACATGGCTGACAAAAGCAGCTGACAGATACCTACTGTACCTAATAGCTTCCCATTCTCTTTCTGTACTGCATGTGACAGAATGCACACAAAGTTGAATAAAAATGTTTTAACACAATTTTACAGTGTCAGAAGGGATTTTTTTTTGATCCTTCTATGTCTGCATAGCTTTGAAAGTAAATAAGTGTGTGTGTGTGTGTGTGTGTGTGTGTGTGTGTGTGTGTGTGTGTGTGTGTGTGTGTGTGTGTGTGTGTGTGTGTGTGTGTGTGACTTCCAGGCCTGCCGTTAGCCGTAGTGTGCTACCTGAGGTGGAACGGAGGAAGGCAAATTGCTTGGGGAGTGCCACACTCTCTTGCTTTTCATTTAGCAGCTTAACAAATCCAATCCCACAACCAGGAGAGTAGATTCACTTTGACCATAACTTCTTTGGATAAAAATGCATGAATTATTCTTTTTCATTTTTAATTAAAACTATCACAATGAATTCATCATTTGTGTTCCCTCTCAGAACTACACTCATGTATCTGTCCCGGCAGTTTGTCATACACTGACACTCCTCACATTGTACATTCTACATGAACCTCATCAAGCTCACACTTTTATCAGGGGTGGGATTGGCAAAGGATGAAAAAACAGGGGGGGGGGAAACACACACACACATATACGCACTGATGGCAGAGTGACCATTAGAATTAAGTGATCCCATTCATAAAATTGTATAAGCTGCGACAGAGCAGTGGTAGGATTTGGGGTTAAATGTCTTGCTCAAGGACACATCGGACATGAGGCCGCAGGAGCTGGGGATCGAACCCCCGACCTTCTGGTTGAGAGACGACAGACTCCACCAACTGAGCCACAGCCGCCCCTTACGCCTTCAGTTTGGACAAAAGGTGTGGCCCAACTGACTGACACACATTGCAATCTGTAGAAACCCTCGACTCAGGATGTCAATGATTAACTGCCAAGTGTGAGAAAAGCGGAAGGGGAAGAAGGGAAAAGAAAACACAATTGACAGAGATACACAATGAAATAAAAAGAACAAAAAAAACAGGACAGTGAAACACTCGAACACAACAAATGATGCAACTGAGAAGCAAAACAGTGAGTGGGAATGGTGCAGCCTTAAGAGTGTCAGAGAAAGACAGGAAAAGAAACAGACAGACATGAGAGAAAGGGGATGCCATGATGGTTGTTGGATAAACGATGTGGAGATAAGAGCTGCTCAGCAAGCCCTTAAGAAAAGTGGCAGGCTCATGTTTTAACTCTGAGGCTCATTGGATCTGTTGATCAGTTGATGTCTCATCTTCAATCTGCCTCTAGTGTCTCACTCAGTGGGTGAATCAGCTTTAATCAACTGGCCTCCATCTAAAGCAAAGGTTCTTTAGAACCATAACCCTATCCTACTATCACCTTTTGAGGACTTCTGACTTTGATTGATCAAACTGAGGGGGGGAGGGGCTCACTTGTATTAGTTGTAATAGTATTGTTTTTATCTCTCTATCCGTTGGTGTAACCATTTTAGTGAAACTACAAAGAAACTCAAATGCTCAGGACCTCTGAAGTAGTTAGTAATTTCTCATTCAATTTCAGAAAAATATAACACAGAAAAGTCGATAAATTCCATAAAAGACCAGAATTAGAAGTGTAACAGAAGAGACAGTAGATCATTGAAAAACTGTACAACACAAAACTGCATAAGAAAAGGTTAATGTATGTGTTAAAATTAGAATTGTTTGCTACTGTATATAAGTCCCAAGGAGACCTGACATCCAATGTCACCTTGTGGCAGCTGTCTATTGTCATCTGCTAATGCACTCACAATGATTCTTGAGCCTCACAGGTAATGATTAGTGGGGGTAATGCAGAGAGATGCAGGTCATAGGGAGCTCTACAACAACAGACTGGTTGACTTTTAGATGTTGTCTACAAACTTAGATAAACCCCCCCCATGTCTCGTGCACATTACCTGAAAATCCTTCTCCTCTAGAATTTCTTTCCTCCACCTCACAAGAAAGGCCGCACACACGTAGAGGTGGAAATGGGAGAAGCCCTCTGGTTCAGCCTAAAATGATACAGACACAATGTGTTTAGCAAAGACATTGACAGAATTAAAAAAAAAAACACATCAAAAAAAAAAAAAAAGACACGTCATATTGTATTGTTGAGGCGGCAGCTTGAAGGTGATGTATACTATTATGGGTAAGTTTGCTTGTATTTGATCTCAGCTGCCAAACATTTACCCTCCTCACTCAGATGCCCTTTCAGAAGCCGTGGCCCCAAACATTATTGAAGCTCATTGAAATGACACAAACAACTAAATAATAACAAGCAATAGGGCTGAATATGCAGCATCAAATGCTTCAAGGTGATTCACCCTGGATAGGGGAAGCCATTGTATTCAGGATTATGGTGTAGCTTCATTTCTCATGAGCAAGAAAAAGGGAGAGGAGTGGTCAGAAGCCGCACAAAAATGTGATCTTAAAGAAGCAGGATAAAAAAAAAGAGGAACAATAAAAAAAAATTCTGTCTCAATCCAGAAATTACATTTCCGGGGCACACTCAACTTTTTTTTGTTCCAGCACATTTTTTTATGACTAGGCAGTGAGCAGAGGAATTAAAGAGGGATGCAGACAAAAGGATGAGATGTTCTTTGGTCTCTTCATATTTTCTCTGGAGTCCTGTCACAGGAAGGATAATTACCAGGCCTTTAAACGCTAGTTAATGAAGAGTACATGACCCCATAAAGGTGGGATTCATCTTACAAGTGATGTTAGTTATTGTGTTGTAGAAATGCACTCATGGATCTGCTTCTTTTAATGTCCAGGGCTACCTGTTAAGCGAATGTTCTCGAGTGGAAAAAAACACACAGACACACACTTGCACTCTTAAATCCCTTCACACATGCCGGCACTTCTGACATCGTTTAGGTGGGGTGTGTGTGGTAACGGCTGAATGTGATATGGTATGAATGAAATCAATTCTAGAGCAGGAGATTTCTGTATCCTGACGACCCCCATGGCTCTACTTCTCAAATCTGACACCCCTCCCTGACCTGCTTCTTCAGCTGAAGTCGTCCTCATCACAATGAATTGCACGACAAAGTTTGTCATGGGAACCAAGGTGACATTGACAAACTTTTCTTTACTTTCCCTCCATCGTCATGTTTGTGAGGGACGAGGGAGGCTGACTAATAAGAGCCGCCGCTGATCAAAGTGAGGAAAAAGTGTGATGTGGGGTGAGGAAGCATACGGAGAGGAGTAAATAGCTAGGGGGATGCATGAAAGATGGAGAGGGTAGGAGGGTAAAGTTAAACCTAAGAGGAGAGGGAAATGTAGAGTGAGAGTGTAAAGTAGTATTTCAATGTCACTGTGTCTTTAAAGTGCTGCGTCAGCTGTTTGGATAGTCCCATCCTTAAAAATTACTTCAAATTTCAAGATAGCTTCCTAAGTTGTCTTCACTATGAAATTGTAAAATAAAGAAATGAAATGTAGCAGAGAAAAAGCATTAAATAGTAAGGATGTTTTTTCTCTATTAATTCCTGTTATTGAGAGACATGCATCTCACACACATAGGCTTAAAACACACACACACACGCACTAACAGGACCTGTGGAGTGGACATGCATTAATGGAGAGATGTCAGAGTGGAGCTGCTACACACTGTTACACAGGAAGCGTGTCAGAGCGGTTGACGCGGTGCCCTGCTCAAGGCAGTACCCGGGAGAGTGTGACCTCTCTAGCTACCAGACCAACTCCATACTTTATGTCTTCTTGCCGTTCAAGTCTGCACCAGGGCTCTCTATCGGGACCCTCTGGTTCCCATCCCAAGTCCCCACAGGCTGAGCTGCTGCCCCACTATTCCTGTACTTGTTAAAACATATTGAAGCTGAATCAATTCTACAATTCACTTAGCAGACGCTTTTATCCAAAGCGACGTACATCAGAGAGTAAGTACAATACAAACAAGGATCTAGAAAAAATGGGAACAATGTCAGTAAGAGCAAACGATCAGCTTTGAGTCCGATTGGACACACAGGTGCTGACAGGCATTGCACAGAGGCAAAGCACAACATTGACGGCAGTTCTTGAGAGCTCTAATCAGTATAGAAACCATCTTATAAGTCAACAAAAACAATCGTGACAACCATCGTCATCATCATCAATGATATCGAAACCATCATCATTAAGTTAGTAGGTATTCATGAAAGAGCTGGGTCTTTAGCTTTTTCTTAAAGATGCAGATCGAATGGAGTTTGGAAGTTCATTCCACCACCGGGGGGCAACAGAGGAGAAGAGTCTAGTCAGAGACTTAGGACCCTGTTGTGAAGGTTGGATCAGACGCCTTTCATTGGCAGAGTGTAGTGGGCGGGAGGGAGTGTAGACCTGGATGAGAGAGTTAAAGTAAGGAGGAGCCTTTTTTGTCGTAAGCGAACAGCAGAGTTTTAAATCTGACGCGAGCAGTAACTGGGCGCCTGTGTAAGGAGATGAACAGTGGAGTGACATGTGCTCTTTTAGGAAGGTTGAAGACCAGTCATGCAGCTGCATTTTGTATAATTTGCAGAAGTTTGATAGTGCATGTAGGAAGACCTGCCAGTAGAGAGTTCCAATAATCAACGTGTGATATCACAAGAGCCTGTACCAGGAGCTGTGTAACATGTTCTGACAGGTAAGGTCTGATCTTCCTGATGTTGTACAGGGCAAATCGACATGACCGGGCAATCGAGTCTACTTGAACCTTAAAAGTTAGCTGGTCATCAATCATGACACCCAGGTTCCGGGCAGACTTTGTGGGCATCAGTTTGGTTGTTCCAAGCTGGATATTGATCTGTGGTTGCATAGAGGGACTGGCTGGGATGACAAGGAGCTCAGTCTTTGAAAGATTGAGTTGAAGGTGCTGTTCATTCATCCATTCAGAGATATTAGCAAGGCATGATGAGATTCTTGTAGAGACTGTAACATCGTCTGGCGGGTAATGACAGGAAGAGCTGGGTATCGTCAGCATAGCAGTGGTGTGAGAAGCCATGAGAGCGGATTATTGAACCAAGTGAGCTTGTGTATATGGAGAAGAGAAGGGGACCAAGCACTGACCCTTGAGGTACCCCTGTGAATAAGCTGTGCGCTTTGGACACTTCTCCCTTCCACGACACTCTAAAGGATCGCCCAGAGAGGCAGGACACGAACCAGCAGAGGGCAGATCCTGAGATGCCAAGTTCAGAGAGTGTGGATAGGAGGATTTAATGGTTGACTGTGTCAAAGGTAGCAGACAGGTCTAGCAGTAATAGAACTAAGGACTGACCCGCAGCTCTGGCAGCAACTTAAAACCTCACGACAAAACACAAGAAGCACAAACACATTAACAATATGTTTAGTCAGTGTTCTTCTAATAAATCTTTGCTCATTTTCTGACCCGTCTCGGAATAAATATCCAATTGTTTACGCCAGGAATTGACACATTTGATCATGTTCTAAAAGATTTGTCTGAAACATGGTCACTTAGGAAGCTTAAAAGCTCCCTGCCTGGAAAATTCAAACATCCATATGGAAAAGGGTCATATTTCACAGCATGAGAATGTCACCGTATCCCTTTAACAGCCATGCTAATGCTGCCACACTGAGCTACGCGCTAATTTCATGCTCCAAGCAACAGAGATAATTTGGTCCCTTTCTGCCTCTCCGTCTGTCTGACTGACTACGAGTAAGGAGAGGTGTGTGTTTTTGCCCTAAATCATTCTTCAGTGTCTTTTTGGTGCTTCTTTCACCTCTTTATATTTATTGTAAAAAAAATAAGTAGAATTAAAGGGAAAATTGAAAATAAAAATTGAAAAAAGACAGAGTTAAAACAGGAAATGATAAACTCGTTAAAGGAAGAAGAAAAGAAGAGACTGCAGGTAGAAAGAGATGACAAACAGATGACAGACACAGAGAGGAAGACAGAGGAAGAGCTGCCCTGTGCTGGATCAGACTACTGAACAGATGGCCACTCTGCAGAGAGAGGACCCCACTTGAGACACTCAGGTAAGAATCCCCCCTGAAACACGCACACATACTCACAGACAGACACAAGTACACTTCAACTATTACAGAGAAATTCAAAAAATGAAAGATCTCTAAATCTTCACTCCCATGTTGTGGACTATCCATTCATGTGAGGGCTATTAGTGAAATTACTATGGGAGGGGCAACATAGGGGGTTAGTGTGCACGCCCCATGTATGGAGGCTGTTTAAGTCCTCCAGGCGGGCGGCCTGGGTTCAAATCCGACCTGTGGCGCTTTTCCCCGCACGTTTTCCCCACTCTCTCTCCCTGATTTCCAGAATCTATCCACTTTCCGATCTCCACAGTAAAGGCACAAAAAGCCCAAAAATATATATTTTTTAAAAAGGACCAAAAAGGAATGCGAAAAGAAAAAAGGCAAGAACAATATTGTTCTTTGTAACAAAGTTTTTCATAACAGGAAAGAGTCTAATATTCATTTCAGGGTATGACTAGAGGTAAGGGGCTGTGATGAAAAAGTTGGATGTGTGTTTTTCTGTATTGTCTGAAAGAGCAGGGGCCGTGATCAAGATGACTTTGTAACAAATCAAACATTTAGAGGATGAATTACAGGTACAAGATGTACTTGGATTACTGTCAAGTGACGACAAAGCAACAACACTGTTAAATAATTTATTCCTTGCCTTTGTTTGAGACTGGAAATAAACCGTATATATAACAGGAAAATTTCAGTGGCAGTCTGCCTATACTTTTTTTTTTTTCTTCAGGAGTGCTATGTGAAAACAGTTTAACACTAGCCCTGCTGTGTGTGTGTGTGTGTGTTTGTTTTTACCTGGTAGGTGTCCCACAGTCTGATTGTGCAGCGTAGCGGCAGCTCCCTCATCAGGAGGTTGTTCATCCAGCGGAAGGCGAATTGTAGGTACTCGACCTCGTACTGCTGCATGTGACGATGCACAGTCTCTGTCAAAAGAATAATAATCCATATTTTAAAAAAAGAAGAAGAATACATTTTAATACTTCAATGAACTTTCAACTGGTTACCAAATAATAAAACAAGCACAGACTGTTAGAAGAAGATTGTAGAGAAGCAACTTTCTTTAGGACTGCTATGTACAGGTTAACAGAGAAAAGAAGCAGCATATGTTTTGTTTCAGGCTGTTATGCGGTGCCATGCTATTGCGAGTCCTTCTGATCTGATTTAAAATTCAAAGTGTTCAAAGTCTGATCATGAGAGCGTCTTATGAAAGTGTAAAAAGAAAGAAATGGTAAGTTAAAAGACGTTTGTTTGTTTGTTGGTGGTCTGACAGACGTGCAGATTGGGGCTGCTTTTGGTGGTTGAATGCACACACACACGCTGGGCCGTCAGTTGGGAGATAATAATGGAAGTAAACTTGGATAAGCAGTAACAAATATGCATATGGGGCTTTAAGACTGAGTGTGGCTGCCTTTGTTCCTTCTCTCCTCTTGATAAATGTTTGTTTTGTGCATCTTAACGTAACAAAGGATTCAAGTACCACTCAGTATTCAGCAACTTCCTTTTTCATGGTCATCAAACCAATGACACTCTCTCTCACACACACACACACTTCATAATAGAGCTGTAATTAAAAAGCTGTCAGAGAAGCTATAAGAAAAGCCTGTAAGAAAGGAACTATAGACTTCGCTTCTTAAACATTACGAGCTCCTAATCAGGGCTGACTTACCTCACATGCACACTCAAACACACACACACACACACACACACACTATACAGCTTCATTAAATGTTTAAATTAAGAAATCAGAACACATAAATAATCATTCTCAACACACAGTGAACACTTGAATGACATCTGTCTTTATGCTCACACATGCATGTTAAACAATCATTCACAGACTCGGCAGCCCGAGCTCGGTGTAGAGGAAACACAAAGTGAGTGTTTCACACTCCGCTCTGCTGTTTAATTATCACATGCTGCTGTAAAAGCATAAACAAGGCGAGCTCATTAACGGCAAATGCATCATGGTGACAGATCTTAGCTAACTACCATACAGAGCGGGGGAGAGATGAACAACTTTAGACACTGTTAAATTACACTAATGAACTTGCTGCGGCTAATATTAGCAACATCACCAAAACACAGAGGGGAGGAGGAGGAGGAGCGGGCTGAGGGGAAGGAAGAGCCATTTGTCAGGACTATTCATTGCAGCAGGAGAAGAACGAGGATGTTAAAGGAAGAAAGAATACGTCGAAAATGACTGAAAACAAAAGAATGAAAGAACAAAAAATATTAAATGCACACACACACAGCAACCCACAGCCTCGCTTAGCAACAGCAGCGGTTTCTCCCGCCCCACCTCTCTTTTCCTCTTGACTTGTAAGCTGTTCTCTTGGTGATATGCATCTGCAATATGTTTTTACAAAGTCATCCAAATGACCCAACTCACTTAAATGTGTCACTTGAGATCCTGATGAATATCACAGACAGAATCAGAGACAAGGGACAGCTCTGGTGGAGGCCAACGCACACAGAGAACCTTATAGGATTGATTTATTGATTTTGATTGCATGTGTTTTGCTTTTAGCGTTTCTCACAATAAATAATTGTATAGTGTTTAGGCTGCTGTATTTTGTTCTAATATCAGTGTTTGAATATAATAGCACCTCTGGGGTCCCAGGTCACTAGCACCGTTATACTGGGGGTCACAGGCGAAAAAGTTTGGGAACCCCTGCTAGAAACAAAACTATTGAAGCCATTAAAACCAAACAAATTCTCATGAAACTTTCTCCAACAACTTAGGCATTCTATCAGTATTGCACTTGTCTTAGTGGTGTCTGTATCTAGCAGCTAGTAAAGACTGAACACAACTTCTTATCAAACTGCACAACAGTGTGTTTGACCCCTGCGTCTGATAAGCACTGATGGGTCATTTTGGGAGAGATGATGAGAGGCCGTTGTTCAAAAAAAAAACAAAAAACAGATGCTCTATCGAGGGTGAAAAAAGAATCCTGTAACATAAGATACAAATCTCTGATCTCATTAGATGTGGCAATGTCAAGCTAAGCGAGCTATAAAATGGCTCTGCCCCTACGATAATGACGGGGCACTTATGGGAAGAAAAAAAATACAGTAAAAATGTCAAGTCATTTTTTATGTCTTTCCAAGGACTCTAAGGACTGTGGTTCTCTTTCAGGACTTTTTTTTTTTTTTTTTAAAGGGAGGGAGGGTTGAAACATTGAAAAAAACAAATTTTCTTCATGTATACACAGGAAAAAAAATGCATCAACACTCTCACACTCAGCATGCAAACAGACAGGTCTGCATACAACACCAACTTTCTCAGACATTCACACGCCCCCCACACACACACACACACACAGTTATGCACTCTCTCTCCATCCATTGAAATGCAGAGGGTGCATCCTCCTCTTCCTCTGGCTGACAGAGCGGGTGACAAGATGGTTCGGACAGCACCAAGGTTAGCTGCGACCATGAGAATTGTACAGAGGCTTGTTTTTGCACAATCCATGGTGGGTCACTATGGAGTCCACCGTCGTTGTAAAATGACAAAGGTCATTCAATGCATTTTAAAGCTCCCTTTCTGACTTCATGAACAAAGGAAGGGTGGATGGAAAAGACAAAGGACCCTCTGTAATTCACACGAAGTTGCACTGTAAGTGAAATTTCACTGTAATTATGATTGACGGTGTTCAGAGTGCTTTAGATAGCTTTAGTTTTCTTTTGCTAATTATCATAAATACATAGGAATTTCTCTGACAGCAGGGGGGAATGAGAAATTATTTCATACATTTCAGTTCTGTCAAAGGTTCTGACACAACAGTATGATATATAAACTTTCTTTTTAAGGGAGACAGTTATGAATATGTTCAGAAAACTGTAAGACAAATTAAGAGGGGGGGTCTTCATGAAGAAAACTCTGAAGAGATGACTCTTTTGCCTTTGTATTTTTTGCCTAGGGAGAAGGGCATTTAATTCAATCTTTAAAAAAATGCCATCTATCCTTTTTTTCTTTTAAAGGCCCCATGTGTCACAGTGATGTGTTTTTTTCTCTCGTGTGTTTGCAGGCAAAGGTCAATGTCTGAACAATATACCACTTCAGGAATAAGATTTCTTTGTCTGATTTTACCCCCCAAAAAGTTGTGCATAAATTTGAACACATCTGAAAATCCTTTGAAGAGAGCACTTTAAGGATGGATGAAAGGATGGATTGGTGGAGGTACATTTAATGACTCACCATCAATCCTGCTGACCAGCTCCTCTAAGGCTTTGACTTTCCTCTGAATGCCTGGCTGGGCAAATGTGTAGTTGTCCTGAAGAATGGGGGGGAAAAAAATCAGATGTAATTTGTGATTGTACACTTTTATTACACTTATTATTCTACTGTGAGAAAATACAGGAATGAAGTATGCTTCAAACATCACAGATGAATAATGTTAATAACATGAAGAAGAGCTCGCAGGGAAGGGAACCAGGTCAGGGCAGAGCAGATAAAACGGCTGGGAAGATAAAGAAAATCTTGTAATTACAGGAATATTGGACATTTTCTTTGTGGTTTGTTGGGCAAGCTGTGAACATTGATACCTCATTGAGGAACGTTAGTATAACTATCCCAGTGCCGCAACATGAACCAAAAGGAATAGAACGCACAAACATTACACTCGTTTCTCTCGTTCTCTTTCTCGGCCAGGTGTCAACAGTCTCTCATTCTAGTCATCCTTGTTCATTCTCTCTCTCCCTTCCTGTCATTCAGTCAGCTGAATCAATACCTCCTCCTCACCTCTCGGTCCGTTCTATTAGTGATAACAATGGCTTCAACACTGGACTAAGATTGCCTCCTATTGTAGCGCGGAATGTCGATCAACAAGTTGGACAGAGCCGACACAACAGCTCTGAAACGGTGTGTGCACGTATGGCAGAGAAAGAGAGACAGTAAAACAGATGAGGGAGAGAGAGCAAGAGAGGGAGATGACAGGTCGAGATAAAGGGTAGACAATAAACTGAAGGACAGGGCAATGATCTGTCATTCTATTGTATGTGTACTGTGTGTGTGTGTATGTGCGCGTGTGTGTGTGTGAGAGAGAGAGAGAGATTAAAGGTTGAGATAAAATTTAGAAAGAAGTGTAGACAATTACAGTTCTTCAGTACTACAGAAGGATTGGTCAGATTTAATTTTTCTTGATCTGTGAAATGGCTGCAGCTGTGTATACCACTAGCCTGACAGGCCCTGTGTGCTTCTCACTAAAGCCATCAAAAATTCAATTGCAAATCAGTGGAACAACCGAGGAAGACAACCCTGAGCATTCACCTGTAGCACAAGCAAGCTTAGTAGTGCAGACCTGTTTGTGGTACTGTTCCAACTTGCAACTTTAAACAAATTAGCATTGTACTACGATGTGTGTTTTTAAAATGTTGGAGCATCCACTCACATTTACTTACATTCATTTCTGAAGTAGACCATAGAGCATAAACCTAATGTTTGGCCTGAACTAGCGCACTTCCCAATTGCATCATTTCATAATCCTACTTCCTTTGTAGAGCGCAGCCGGAATGACTTTGTTAAAGCGCTTAGCACTGTGAGATTTATCCTCCTTGATCTGTTAAAAGGGTGCCATAATAAGTGGAGGAAGAGTAATGAGTTCATAAAGAATTAGAATTTACATGTTTAAACTAAAGCAGTTATTATGGAATCCGCAGTGTCATTTGTTGAATACTGAATAACAAGTCAACTGTGTGATAATAACAGATGTCTGCTTATATTAAGTTAGCTGAAGCTTAGGAGCCGAACTACAGAAAGGTAACAGGTGTCACAGGATGAAATAAGTTAACATAGGTTAAATATGTAAAAGAAGGGAGATGAAGAGAGAAAAGAATGTTAAGAGTCAAAAGTAAAAAAAAAAGGGGCTGATGAGGGGCTATGGGGCAGTTAAGGTCTTCGTGGTTCCCAAACACTATATGCTTTCATTTGCATGAACATCAATAAGGCTTGGGGAGACAGATACAAAAACATAAAAACATGCTGTCAAGCGTAACAAATAACAGATACACCATCTGGCCTTGTGTGTGTGTGTGTTTAGATGTTGGGAATGAGTGACAGCGCAAGGTGACAGTAGGAAGCCCTTGGGGAGACCAAACCACAACATGGCGTCTGGTTTGGTATGGGTACCGTCTGCTCGACGTCGGTCCTCGAAAACCCCTGTTCCCACTTGAGGTAGACCCCATCTTTAGCTGGCAGAGTGAAAACAGATGGTTTCCTTGACAATAAGGAGGCACACTCTGCTAGGAGTGCAAGGGGCTGTAGGCAGCTCAGACATGTTGCAGAGCCAGAAGTATCTATTAAACATTTAATGATTGTGCATTTTACATTTATTAAGTGCTGTTGATGAGGGCCCGAGCACCGACATCAGTGCAAGGACATTCTCTAGGAATGCAAGGAATCTTTTTGTCTGAGTACAGAACGGGTGTGAGTTTTGACATGTTCATCACGTCTGGCAAAATGTACAATATTTTTGTGAATGATTTTTGTAAATTAGCACAATAAAGAATGACCAAGGAATTACATTTGTAGATTAAAATTTGTCATGTCAGCAGTTTCCTCATAAGAGTAACTCGTGGTACAGAACAGTTCATCAAACAAAAGGCATACAAACCAAAAAAAAAGTGTCAGTGACAATTTCATGTGCCAAGACAACTGTTGAAATATAATAATATGGATCTCAGGGCCTAATTTAATATCTAAAAGTTAGGTCCTAGAATTGAAAATACATTTGAGAGCCCGTGCTGTAAATGGCAGGTCGGCAGAATTAACATAAAAGGCAGATTTTCATCTGCTGGCTCTTAAGGTAAGGGGCCTCGTGGGTGTGCTGGTGGAATAATGGCCCTTTAAAACTTTTTGACTTCATTACCTTCTTCTCTGGGTCAGACAGGTATAAGGCTCACTGGCTGTGTGTGGACAGTGATAGACAGGACATATTGACTGCAGCAGCTGGAGGTATTTTCAGATGACTACACCTGTGAAATATTACAATTAATAAGGAGGATTTGAATATTTACTGCAGAGGTCGTTGTCTTGGTCATGACTTGTTCTCGGTCCCTAAAAGTCTTGGTCTTAGCTTGGTCTCGGATCATTCCGGTCTTGGGTATGTCTTGGAATCAGTTAGTGTGGCCTGGACTACAACAATTGTGTCAAACACACCCTGCTGTAAGACAAATGAAGCATTAAAACTACTGGGACAGCGCCAATGAGTCTGCTAGATACTTGTTGTCGGGGGGGGGGGGGGGGGGACATCAGGCAAGGGCCCAAACAAGACCCTTTCCCTGGTTTTGGGGAAGGGAGAAATCAAGTAAAAATCGTCCTGCTGTCTGAGTCCAGCCTTACCTACCTCAGCCTGCTCCCTGGGATATGGAGGCTACTGTGCAAGCAATTAAAGCAACAACTCAATAGAGAATCAGCTGTAGTGAACTGACAGCCCAAATTGCCTGTTCAATTTTATGTGAGAGAGAGGCAGGGCATAGAAATACTAAAACCTGACCTAATGGCAATTTTAACTGTTCTACAACACTGGGAGATTGTGTGTTTGGGGAGGTTGGGGGGGCAGTGTGGTTTATAGAGGGATAACCGAAAGTTGTTTTTTTCATTAAAAATTTAACTACCATGCTGTGGTTGTACATTGTGATGCAATTAAACTATTATGCACATTTTTTTTTTTTTTTTTAACCATAAAATAAGTGGCATCCAGTCCTCAGGAATACCTGGATAAATGAGTAGCTTTAAAAGGCAGTGAGCAAGTAATACTGCAAGGAGACACCGTCTTCTCTCTAACCCCAGACCCCCCCCCACACTGAGGCCCTCAGTTAAGTGTTAAAGTGTATACTAGACGTGAGTGGGTTTGAGAAGGTCAAAACAAGGGTCACCAACTAATTACAGTGCAGAGGCACTCTGTCTCCATCAGATTGTTTAGAAAGCATTAAGGGGGAAACATGGGCTTCCCTGGTGCACATTGCACATAATTAGTTTGGAGGCAAGGTCACAAACAAACACAAGCAGGGGGAAGAAACAACATTGCTGCATATATAAAAAGGATATACGAAGACACACACTCCTTTACAACCTCTGCTCAGAAGCTTTGCAGTCGGTTTTGCTCTCATGGGTAACACGGCACGTCGTCTATTAATTTTCTAAATGAAATTCTTAAAATGGGTCATTATTAATGGATGTTCACCTTTCATCAACAAAACATGCTTAGGGGATGGTATATGACAACTAACAGGAAACCTTAACCACAATCCTCTTGTCTTACTTAAATGTTATTTCATCATAATGAACCATGTTTTACTTCTGACAGAGACAAAAAAACTTCTCTAGCCAAAAAATGAAGTCGACTTATAAGTGCCAAAAATGTCCCTTCCTCTAAAGCAGAATAAAACATGCTGATAGCCAGGTCAGTATTTTCTGTCGCTAATTTCCCTATTCATGACAATTTCTGGCTGAGGGTGTTCTTTCTTGTTTCTAGAGAGCTATCATATCACTAAGAGAATGACTGCATTGAGTGACAGATGGCATTTTTCAATGAGGAGAAAGCATCTGTGACACCTCTTTGACAGCACAAATAGCATCTACAGTAGGTGCTGTTCTTTTGTCAATCAATCAATCTGTCTTTTAACTCTTGAGAGAAAGATATGGGTAAAATACTTCAAGACCAATTCAGAGGTTGAGGATGGTAAAAAAAAAATTTTTTTTAAGTTTCTTTTGAGGCCTAAGCAGCCACTTTTAAAGATGACAGATTGCAGATCTGCAGATGAATAGAAGAAGGGAGGAGACATAGATCAATGTGGAGAATGAGCGCATATGCTTCACAAACACTTTTCTTAAACTCCATCATTAAAGCTATTTCACCTGTAATGATGATAATGGGAGAGGAATCCTGCAGGCTTTACAAACTGTATGAATGGCCAGAGCACATGAACCAGTAACATTCAGTCATGTGCATGGAAATGATTATCTGCAGTAGCATGTCACGCTAGCATGCACATATTGAGCAACAGTACAAAATGCATTGGAAAATCCCTTTGAGTGACATCGCAAGAGTACAACAGATGGGGAACCAGCATCAGACTTAGAGCATAAAAAAATACTGAGTCTGGTCTCAAAAAAACTTCAATAAATAACAACTTAATCATGTTTAGGCTGTACATCAGAATGGAGAGTTGTTTGTGTGTGTGTGTGGTGCATGTGATACAAACAATACACTGTGCCGTCTTTTATAAAAGTGTATATCTATTTGTGACTGGATTGATCAGATATCGTGAAAAGACAAACTTCAACATTTGATCTAAAAAAAATTAAAAACTCATGCTTACCTGGATACCATCCAGCAGTTTGCTCATGCACCAGAAGCTGTCAGCTTCAATGTTCCTCAGAGCCTCTTCCTGGAGACTGGACACATCAAAGTTTTCCACTTCCTCCTCTAGAGAAAGGAAAAGAGGAGAGAGAGAGAGAGAGAGAGAGAGAGAGAGAGAGAGAGAGAGAGAATATGTTTTAAGCATTGTGGTGAAGTCAAAAACTGCAAAGAGGCAGAAAGAATATCCAGATCTATAGACATGGTACGTCTACGTCATAAGACCATCACTGAGAGACAGGAACAAGGAAGTCAGAGCTGAGTCACCAGAATGATGTCATACATAATACCTGATTAAAAAGACTAATGCATGATCATAAAAAAAAGACACATTTGAACCCAAGACAATATAAACATCTCTATTGTTGAATCAAGTACAATAACCTCAAATTCATGCTGTCAACTTAAATTCAGTACTAAACTAAAAGTATTTATTTACCTTCTATAACTTTTTTTTATTGATTCTGTATGTAGGTCTTGTTGCTGGTTTTGGCAGATGGCAGCTCAACATGAGTCTCTATACAAATAAAGATTGATTGATTAAAAATATTTTGTCCAGTAAAATTGTTTGGCTTGACCTGCCATTGGCAGATAAACCATAAAGTTGGTTTTAGACCGTGGTTGGATACAGTATATCCTATAAAAACGCAGCAGACCGCACAGAGGAAATTATATAAAAGCAGAGGCGCACTGAGTTCCCAGTCATCACCAGCCGGTAACTTCAATGACTGGTGTCATCCGATGTCATTAATGGCAGCAGCGTGTAACGGGCTGCATGAGCTATGACGGGCTTTCTGACAAGCCACTGACAGCCAGTGAAGAGGAGATGGGCAAGGACTGATTAACAATGATCAACAGAGAGAGAGAAAAGGAAGAACAGAAAGGAACAGGGAAAGGGAAAAGGCCTGTGCTAATGTGTGCTCACACGAGATTGTGATGTATAACAACATTCCAGCCATGTTACGAAAGGAAAGAATCAAATAGCATATTGTAATATGGCTTCAAACCACATATAACTGATAATATCACAAAAAAATACAGATATATTCTCAATTTCTCAACGATAGCTAAAAGTGAGACGGCTGGTGGGATTAAAACTCAAAAAGTTAGCTTGGCTGATATTTGGAGATGTCAACTATAATCAAGTAAACTTATTGTACTGTTGGAGAAAATGTTATCAGTGCAGATACAAGAACGGCCAGCGTATGACCAATTTGAAGACAGCATTAAATTGGATGGCTCTTCCATAGTAATGCAGAAGACAATAATACACATCTCTCTGGGATGCAGCAGCTCTGGGCAGCAATCCTGTCATTAAATGAATACTTGAACTGATTCAAACTATGCAGACTGGCAATTCACATGGTGTCTTTCCTGATTAACAAGCTGGTGAGAGTGCTTCTGCTGTGGCATTGTGGGAGACCCTTAGTGTATCAAAGTCTCAAATAAGTCTTTTGTCTCGGTTAAAGATTTGATGACGGGCTCGGCTTTCAAAACCTCGACCTCGACTCGGGGGCCGATTAGAGGGGGGCAACTTCCAGGACTCCAGTGGTTGTACTGGAATTGGGCGCAGCTCATCACAATAGCAAGGACACGGCAGAGGAAGGGCTAAGAAGGGGAGAGGCCATGCAGCAGGGAACGCTTATCCTCAGTGCTGCCTGTTGACAAAGCAACAGTGCCCCCTGTGGCCCTTTGGGGACGTGATGACAAAAAAAACTACTCTTAAACAAATTCAGTCTTGAACAGCCAAATGCTAGTGACACACAAACTTGTGTATACACAACACAGGCTTCAGCAGAGGGGAATGTAGTGATCAAACTGGCATAAGCACATGGACAGCACACAGATAATTTGACATCTGCTACTTCATCTCTCTTCACTTAATAATCCACTTCCAGCTCTCTAACTTTCATCTGATAGTTTCTTTTGGTGCACTAATATTAACCCCCTCTATCTGTATCCCTTTCCCCTTGATCCCTGTACTACTCCTACACAGCAATTTCACAACTCCGCTACAATTACCTCCCTCTCCTCTGCCCCTCTCTCACCTCCCTTCCCATTGGCTACAGAGCCAGTTTCCTGCCAGGCCGCAGGGTTTATTTCCTGTTTGTCCTGGCGCAGGGGGCAACTTGTCCAGAGAGACCAACTGCCTGGTCGCTGCCAGCTGCGAGCACTTGGCCCAGCTTGGCAATGCCGAGCAGGGTTACACCTCCGGAGACCGAGTGCAGGCGTCTACATACACAGGAGCGTGCATGTGTGTAAGTACACATGACAAACTCGTGCCAGCGCTGCCATCTGCCCTATTCCACTATGGGCCACAAGGTAATGTGATGTAAGATGATAAACGAGCTAGTTTAGCCTGATGTAATCATAAAGTGTGTGTGTGTGTGTGTATCAAGTGTCTTTGCAGAGAGCAAATTGTAATAAAAAACAGTCCTGCTTGACAACTCACTGTTGGCCTTAGATAAATCACAAGAAGGAAGAAAAGAAGGATTCAAGTTTCAACTCCAAGAGTTCACCATCCAAAGGCAATTTGATCACATGAAGTTCTGCACCAATTGCTTATCATTTACAGAAATTGTTCACCGTAAATCAATGAATTGAATGACTTTCAATTTGTGTGCAGAATCCAAATATGTCACAATCAAGTTTCCACCTTCAATATGAGACGCAAGCAACTAAAAGAAATCCCACCACGATAATGAAGGGTGGCTCATTAGCGCAGAATGCAGTATTATCTCACCTATTGTCACTTATATTTCTTTTAGTATGTCCTTAACAACAACTACATGATAATCAGTATGGGACACCAACATTCCCGCCACTGAACAGTGTGTGAGCAGCGCTGCAGACAGTAGACAGCGCCTGGTGCTGAAGCAAAGCACCATCACAGCAGCAACAGGTATCTCCAGAAACCCCCTCCTCTTTAGCCTTTTGCCTACAAAGATGGTGTCACTGCACAAAACACCAGCATTTGGAAGGAGGCAGATGCTAATTGCATACCATGCTCAGCATCAATTCTGTTTAGTCCTGGCATCGATGAAGAATCCTCTACGTCCAGATTGTGATGCATCGTAGGAATTATCAGTGTTTAATCTGGCTGCAGGAAAAAACATTTGGAGCAGTGATATGTATTATGAGCATCAGCTGACACATTTGATCACACAGCAGTCATAATAGAGAGTGGTGAGAGAGACACCATATTGTCTGACCTTGTTACAAAAACATGTTTTGGTATTCCAAAGCCTTTCTATTACGTCTGACTATGACTTCATTGTTTTAAACCTGCAAACATATCTGAGAGGTGTGCAGGGGTCTGTGCTATGTTTATTGTCTGCCTGGGACTTGGTGCATGCGTGTACATACATGCAAGTACACAAAGTCATGATGTAACCCAACACACCGCCATTGCAGCAGCAGGTAAGATGACTGTTTCAATTGCCTCCAATTGCATCAGGTCAAAGCGGAACACATCTTGCTGGTGACTGATTGATAAAACGGCCCCCACCCCCCAAAATCAAAAAGAGAGAAGAAGAAATAGAAGCTGGGAGCAAGCTGAGGCGTCTCTCAGCTTTGAAGAGATTCAATTGATTGCCTTATATAGTCAAGTAATTAACTTCATCTAAAAATATTCAATAACCCCTGCAATTATTCACAGAACATTAATAATTTTTTGACAGAACGATTTCTCTTGATCAGTTCAGAGCGCTGTTGCTTTTTTTCAGCAGGAACGTAAGATTCTGTGGTAACACATGTGAATAAGATCAGGCTTGATGTACATAATGCAATGTAATCTACTGTTAGACACTACTGATTGTAGCTCAGTCTGTAGGGACTTGGGTTAGGAATCGGCGGGTCGCCGGTTCAAGTACAGGCACGGACCAAGTCCAGAAGTTGGTCTGGTAGCTGGAGAGGTACCAGTCCACTATCTGAGCACTGCCGAGGTGCCCTTGAGCAAGACACTGAACCCCAAAACTGCTCTGGTGCGCTCGCTGTGGGCAGCCCCCTCACTCTGAAACCTCTCCATTAATGCATGTCCATAGGATCCTGTTTGTGCATGTGTGTAAATTCCGACCTATGTTTGTGTTCATGTTCATTAGACAGAGTGTAAAATTGAATTTCCCCTCCCGGTTTAATTAATAATAAAGGACAAATTATTCGAAAATACGACCTACAACCCATTCTAAAATATTTAAAAACACGTATTAAATAAAAAGAGAGTTCAGGTTTATTGAACTGCTTGTATTTGATTTTTGGAAGTATATCAATGTGTGTATGTAGTAGGGAAATGTAGTAATATACTAAAAAGAAAATGTGTTTGTTTTCTTTTCTTTCTTTTTTTTTGGGGGGGGGGGCTCCAAGCCTTGAGATCTGTGATGCCTGTCACCACTCATCATCATATGACCTATTTTATAAAGAGGCATAATAAAAAAAGGATTTTGTTATGCTCTTATTTTGGACTTTTGACTGTCTTAAGCTAAGGGTACTTAACTTCCTGTTTGAAAATAAGCACATTTGAAGTGTTTGTTGTTATAAGGCTTAAAAACACCAATTAGTCAATTACTAAAAAAAACTATCCCAGTGAAGTTCTACATGTCAGAAAACTGATATCAGAAATTTAGAACAAAAATGTCACTCCTTGAGTCAGAGTACCGGTATTTGAAAATTGGGTTAAGTAGATTGTAAAAAAGAATTTTAAAAAACACACGAAACACTTGATGGCTGGATTTGTCATAAAATTGAGCAGTACAATGTAGCAAGTATATAGCGATAGACCATTCATCTCTTAGTGGATAGGAAGAGGAAGGCCTGACTGGGCAATGTTGCACCTTGACAGCTGGTCCATTTTCACTTAAAATTTTGTTTTGCCCATTTCTTAGTCTGTCATTCTCCATGACATCACCCTTTTCCTTTGAATCCGCTAAGAAATACTCTGTCTAACATCTATATCTGTCGTATAGCAGTGGATCTCTTCCATGCCTAGATGTCAAACACTTAACTCTGAATTTTGTTACACACACAATTTGATTCCCTTTCTGTTTCAATAGCTCGCGCCCTCGTTCTCATCTTCCTTCAGAGTGGATCCATACTTAAGACACTGGCATGCAGATTACGTTATGGATCCATTCAAAGATCAATAGTCTCACCAAATTAAAGGAGGACTGGCTAGATCTTTGGCCAGTCGTGGCCCATTTTTCCCTTGATTAGATCACTTCTATTGTCTGCTAATGGGAGAGGGAAAACACTTTGGGAGATAGGGAGAAAACAAAAGTGTAGCAATGCCTAACAGTTAGAGAACAAGAAGGACAGACTCACTAAATCAATTCCTCCTTTGACACAAGCTAGGGCTGCTAGATTGTTTAACGGTCCAGGTGGATACAAAAACAACTTTACTGGCATTGTTCCTTCAACAGCATCAAAAGACCTTTTCGATAGGAACTTTTCAATTGGAACTTTTCAATTTGGATTAACACTCAGGTGTTAATGAAAGTTGTGACAGAAAGAAAAGGGGGAAGTAAGGAAAATGCTGAGAAGTCGGAGTGGTAAATACGTTGCGCCATGACTCCACGTTGCATAATGAATAAGTAAATGGAGCGCATGGCAGCTGAACAAGCCCTGCAATGCTAGACCAAGGTTGTTAGGTTGTTCTGTACAACAGTACCTGTGTATGTGTCTTTTTTTCTTTTTGAACAAGGCCGTAAACATGTATTTCTGCTGTAAAAATAGCAATTTTTGAATGGGTGTGTATGTGACTTCTGGAGCTTCTGCAGCCGGCCTCAAGTGGACACTCGAGGAACTGCAGGTTTTTGAACTTTTGCAACGGCTTTATTTTTTAACACCGAAGGTCGCCACATTCAATGGATAACGGAGGAGGGTATCGTACCTTTTTGTTAATGTGTGGGATAACTATTACAAAAAACTTTCATATTCCTACTTCTTCTTTGGTAAAAATGTCTAGGTACCTATTTCCACCACTGCTACAAATTCAAATGTTCAAATGAATGGATTATTTCTTTGAGAGTAAAATAAACGTACAGTAGATCCGGCTATTTTAAAGATCCATCTTTTTCCTTTCTAGTTCCATATCATCCATGGTCATTTGACATGTCATCAGTGATGAAACACTATTGTTATCACACTTACAGATATCAGACCAGCCTGACATCTGTCTGAGAAAAACAGACACATCTGTTAAATAAAACATGAGCTCATAAATTTGTACGTTTCCAAGGCTACTGTACAGATCCTTTGGCCTTCAACTGATTTCAATTAGATGAGAGAAAACATGTTAGTTCGGTAAAAAGATAATAATGAAAGAGAAAATAGAAATGTACATTTCTTGACATGATCTGCCAGGTTCTAATCCAGCCTGGAATGTCCTTCCTATATTGTCAAATATGTATTTCAATCATATTACATCATCAATAAAACAGATGTAAGGCTGCTTTTGTTTATTTTTTCAGCTTCTTTGAACCTGTATTGTGATTCCAATAATGGTTAAAGAGTTCCCAGTGAATATCAAAAAGTATTTTTGCTTCAGATAGTGTTGGACCCAAGGTGTTAGGAGCTGTAAAGGTATGTACTGCTATAGAAGCACTTACAATACATGTGCATTTAAAAATGTTGACTGATCCTTGAATCAATATCACAAAGGAAACATTTAATTGTTTTAAGTGAAAAGGAGAAGGAGAGAGTGATGGCACTCACCGATGTACTCAAAGACGTAGACGACAAAGAATGGCGTGACCAGATCATTGATGCCTTGCACGTAGCCACTGGCTGGGTGGCGGATGGCCCAGATAAACAGGATGCGCTCAAAAATCTTTCAAAACACACACACAAACACACAGAAACATAGTGTGTAAACAGCAGTTTGCACACATAAAAAAAATGTATAAATTACACAGGTTACCCACAACTACACAGTCGATTAACAGTGATATGAAACAAAGAAGGAGAAAAGTAAGCCAACATTTAGAATGAAATAACTTTCAATCTTTGAATTAGTCAAAATGCCCTTTAAATGAAAGAATCATTAACTGACAATACATTTCCCTCAAAAAAGGATCTCTAACAAACATGCATGTTTAAAGTGACATAAGGCCTCATTATGTCATTAGAATTGGGGTTCAAATAAATCTTGATTAGAGGTGTGACTTCTAAACGTTTAAACGCTAAATGTTTAGAAAAACACTAAACGTTTGCTAAAATCACCAACCATTTAAATGTCAATTAGGTTGTTGTTGTTTGTTTAACGTGGTAACGTGCGCATGTCACTGCACAAAGCTCTCCGCAACAGCGGTGCATATCCAAGAGGGATGTACGGACAGTGGACCTCATCGTTCCCTCTGTCTCTCTCTCTGCTGATGTGATTCTGCACTTTTATCCCTCCACAGGAGTCGACAGGGAAGTTTAAAAAAAAAAAAAAAAAAAAAAAACGGCTCGCCTGTCAGCACTCTGCGAGGTCTCTGTCGCCCGCTCTCACTCTTGTGCACGCAGTAATTTTATGAATGAATGAAAAAATTTAATAAAAACAGGTCGGAAACATAGCCCAAGTATCGTCTATGTGTGGGAACCACTGTGTTTATTTGACAAGCCGGCTGCCACTGCGATAAACTCCATCATGGATGGCTGTTAATGTTGTAAGCCTAAATGAATAAGGGGAGGTTTGAATAATCTTGTTTCTTTATCCTGGGGATCAAAGAGAGTTCCTCATAAACTTCCACAAACTCTCCCACACCTTTGCTCTACCCACAGAGCTACAACACTTCCTTATTTGGGAGGGTATGTCATGTTTTCTGTCAATTATTTAATACACCTATTTTTCTTTATTTAAACTAAAAGAAATCACGGCCACAGAAATTGCATCGCTTGGAAAATGTTAGGCAGTCGAGTTTGAAAACGTCTAATTCTCTCCTGGTTTCAATCTCACACCTCCTTCCTCATCAAAGCCCCATCGAGCAAACAAGCTGTCGCAGTCAGACAAGTGAATATGTATACAAGGTGACGCAACATAAAGTATAACTGTTAAACTTCAATACTCTATTTTAGGTGCATTGACGTCTGTTCCATAGCTAAATACATGGGGGCAAGCTAATGGAGTATTTCAATTTATGTTGGAAGCATTTATCAAGCATGCAAAAGAGGGAAACGTTGGTGATTTGGGATGAGATAGAGAAGAAGGGGGGAAAAAAGAGATGAGGAGAAATACAGCGGCCGTACACAGAAGCAATACATACAGACTTCAGATAGGAGGCACCCTTCTACATTTTGAATTGTGTGTGTGTGTGTGTAGGTGTGTGTTGACTTGTGTGTATTGCACTGCAGAGTATTCTTTTTTCATGTTCATACACGCACACATGATGTTATATTTTCTCAGGAGTGTACATGTGTGTTATTGCCTTCACCTATTGGTCAGAGGCTCCAGGGCTCAAACCTGAACCTAATTATGGAACTTTTCTGACTGGGTTGAAAAATAAATGAACAACATCAGAAGCCATCTTTTTCCCTCCCCATGGATGGATGTTTAAAACATACAGTTTACACACGCTTTCAAACAGCACTTACCTTTTTCAGCTAATTTTATGATTTCTCATTTTACTTGCATCTAGACCCAAATAGTGTGCATGTGTGTGCGTGTGCAAAGGGGGGGGGGTGTCTCACCTCTTGGACAGAAGCTTGTTGAAAGAGAGGAATAAGGGGATTAGTTCTCGGTATGTCAATGTGAATCTGCAGAGAGAGAAAGAGGGAGAAAAAAGACAAACACTGAAGCAACGGGCAGGTTAGCACAGATCTGGCAAATACAGACAGTAATGAAGGCTGAGAAGAGCAACAGTTAGTGGATTGGTGTCCTTGATTGAAGGCAGACGGGGGTTACTCTTTCTGAAATAAGATAGTAGGTGTGGTCCCGTCTTTACCAGTTAAGACTGAGTTGTAACTCTCTTTGCTTGAAAGTACAGACAGTATATTTGAGCGGGACCACACTTACAACATTTCAGATTGTCTACCCCACAGATGAACAAATGACAGGCAGGCAGATTGGTCAGAAGGGAGTCAGACGGATGCACGACGGCAGCTGGAGCAAAAGCCAGCTAAAGTGGTTCAGACGGGACTGGCAGACTGTCTTTAGAGCGTGTGTGGCTTGTGACGGACAGTACTTGGGATGGAACTGTATTCACAGTACTGTCTGCTCTGTCCACCTTACCTCTGTCACCTTTGGCTGCAGCACCAAACACTCAGGACTCATCCTAGGAATGTCTATGTGGATCTGACAGCAACACGGGAGAAAAATGTGTTAAACGCATACATACTAACACACACACACACACACAATCACATCACACACACACACTAAAACAAGAGTACCAATGTAGATGTCCCCTTCATGAACTTGTTCTCAATGTTTTTCATTAAATCTCTTTTGGCCAGATACGTCAGCTAGTAAACAGAAGCCTCAGGTGGAAAAGGAACATGTCAGTGAGAACAGCCACAATAATTCCTATACCCTGCACTTTGCAGGCGCATTTAGTCCATTGTTTTAATTTGCTGACTGTTGTGTTTCGAGTTCCTACTATCCCAAATGAAACAGCAGGTATCTACTGCTAGCGTGCCGCTGCTTCTCAACCTAACATCATCATGATCTGCTTCTCTTGTAAATGTACATGTGTTTTATTTCTGAAGTTGTTCTGCCCTCTGGTGGCCGCAAATGGTTTCATGAAGATTTTACAGTAGAATTATATCACAACTCCAGCTCCTGTTTTAACCAATAAACTACCAGGACGTTCATTTTATCTTCTGATAGCTTAAAATAGAGCAAAGCTCGATTCTGTTTACAGACGTTCAATCTGTGTGTGTGTTTAGAAAGGCAGCAGTATTTCAAAAAGCTTGCTATGCAAGCTGGGTCTCCTACAAAAGCTACATCCATATGTAAATGTTTACGCACACAAGCTGTTTAGGCAAGTTACCAACAGCAGTCACAGAGATATGAAAGAGACTGATGGACAGATAGGAGAAGAGACACAAACGGTGGAGAAAGACGGAGTGTGTAGACGGTCTCAAGATGAACACACATGAACAAAGACCAATACAAAGACAAAACATGAGAATGATATGAACATGTGCTGCCATGTCATCAAAATAACACCAGCTCTTTTGCACAGTGAAGAATAGTTTATATGAGAAGTTCTCTCCTTTCATATTAAAGGTAACTTTTGGGGGAGATAACAGACAGAAACACAGACCAAAAGACAGACTGGGGTACATGACTGGTTTGAGTTATCCTGACTGCCAGGCCAAATCCTGTAAAAAAAAACATGTTATTCGAAGCAAACATACACAAACATGCATAGAAAGCCATGTGTCCTGACTTTGATGGGTGGAAAAAAAAAAAAAGGTCAATGGTAAATGGACTTTTACTTTGTATCGTGCTTTGCCAGCCATCTATCTACTCAAAGCACTTTTTACACCGCAGGTCACATGTACCTATTCACACGCTGATGGCAGAGGTTGCTATGTAAAGTGGCCATCAGTGTTTACTAACCGCAGTCATTCTCATTCACACGCTGCTGACGCGTCAGTGGGAGCAGTTTGGGGTTCAGTGTCTTGCCCGAGGACACTTTGACGCGTGACTGCGAGACCGACTCTACCACTGAGCCCCAAAAAACAACAATCACTTCTGTTCGGGACATTAAGCCTTGTTTTGCATCTGTCTATGTTCCAAGTTATGTGAGATTTCAGCATGGCTTTGTGTGTCTCGCGGGGGTTTACCTGTCTGTATGTGTCCTGATGGTGCTCGTCATTGCGCGAGTCATAGTATTGCTGGATGAAGCCAAAATATTCTTGTCTCTTCCTCTGTAGGACACTTTCTCTTCTTTCTGCGTTAGCTGGTAGGTAACCCTAAGACGAAGTGAGAGACAAAAGGAAAAGGACACAAGAAATTAGGAATCGATTTTCAGCATCATTTTATCTGTTTATCTACAGAGAGCTGCTTCTCGTCTTGAAGGCCATACAAACTTCTTCCCCATTTGTTTTGTTTCAGATCATTCTTCTAACAAACTGGAATATATTTGTTTAATGAAACTTGGGCAATCCATGAATAGTTCAGATTAATTATCTTATTGAGCTGAGCACAGCCAAGCAACTTTGGACATTCGACCATTAACAGTTCAATTAATTAGAAACATGCAGAACAGGCTCTAAGCTAAATAAGATTTCCCCAAAGGAGCAAGACTGCCACCCTGTGGAGTTCAAAATTCTGATAGTTCTTCTGATCCTGATATTACATTTGAACCGCTGAGCTCATATGATAACCAGAATTCATCATCCCATGTGAATGCAGTGAATGGTTAGAATGTTCCATTACAGAATGCTTTGCAATCAAGGCCCTAGAGTTTGAGAAAAGAAATGAAAGGAAAACATTTAATCAGTTATACAGTAACAGTCTGCTCTATAATCTGAAGGAGGAACTGATTCTGCCCTGTAAGCAGTTTGCGCAGCTGCTTTGCACTAAACTCCACTTCTGAGGAAACCATTATTTAATAGTCGCGTAGAGTAAGTTAAATGCAGAGTATGTGTTTTCCACAGACTTACAAACCAAAGATTTCAGTACAATGGCAACAGCTTCGAATGGGACTTCTAAGATCTTTGGATGTGTTCATGTAAGATGCACACACTTGAAAATGAACACATGTTTTTACCAACTGTATGCTGCCACCCTGAGCATGTGGTCTCCTTCATATGAGAAAAAATATATTTAAATGTTCTGTCAAGAAATGTAATTATGTGTTCTATTGTAAGTAACAGCTTGATTGATACTTATCAAATTACCCTTTGGCCTAATCAATATTTCCACAGCCAGTTAGTTTTCTCCTCTCCCACCACTTTACATCCAACACAATCCAGCGGGCAATTGTGCTCAAACATAGATCCAGTAGGCCAAGGCTCAGTGGGGAGCTAACAGGAACGACAGTTAGGATCCACCGCACTGTCCTGGATGCTCGGTTACAAAAGGAAGGTGGAATCCACTGCGAAGGAGGCCAGGATTCGTTTCCACCTATGGCTCACACTTAACCCCATATCCTCACTATGACACCAACCAACTTTCCCTGTCTGGGCGCTTCAACTACTGGGATTGGAATTGGCTGGGCGGCATAGTTGAAAGAAGTGGAGGGGGAATCTTTGAGGTTTGCTCCCCGGGACTTTGCTGTAACTCCATTTCTCGAGCAAAATTAAACAAACAATAAGGCGAGCTGGCCTGGCAGACGGCTTTTGGTGCACACTGCTGGCGCAAGAGTGCCAGAAAATATGATAAAGAGAAATGCCCAATGAGGCAAGAATTGGCTCCATTCCTCTCAGCAAGGTTTCTTCTTTTGTCCGCCTACTTATTTTATTCAACGCTAATAGTGGTAGAGACAGTTATGGACATTTCTGGGATGTGGTGGTAAACACGGGCCATTTGGAGTTACCAAGCTCTGTCCTTCCTCAGTGGGGCAAACTCTTTCCTCATTTTTGTCAGAGAGCATGGCTCAAGCGTGACTGCTGGAGGGGAGGGAAAATCAAATAAGTTGGGTCTCACTGGCGAACAGCAGAAGGGCACCGGGGACACCATTGGAGTGTTTTTTTTTTATAAGGTACCACTGCAAAGTTTATTGAATACAGTGTGGGCTGTGGGCCGAAATGTGTGTATACGTGTGTGCGTGTGGGTGCCAGACAAAGGATATGTTTTGTCAAGCTTGATCCCTTCTATCCATTTCTCAGCCAAATCATACCTCAAACAGGACAGAGGATGCAGTCAAGTGTAATAGCAATTCAGAAGATATGAGTGCTGTCATCTCACAGCCCACAATTCACCTTAATCTCAACCAGGGATAATTCAGGCTGCATGAAACTCTGGAAACTAAAATTGAATAAAAAAACAATAATAATGGGGCCGAGTAAACTTTAGATATGGATATTGTTTTTCTACACAGTCAAAAAGTTGTATATGTTAACCATTATCGTTAAAAAACATCCAGAACTTTTTGCAATGTCCATAGATTTGACTTCTTATGAGAGCATGATGACTCTATGTAACACACCTGTCTATATTACAAATCTACGCACATCTTCTCTGATATATCACTTAAGCTGACTGCCTGTTTGTAAGTGTGTTTTTCATCATCACAGTCATTTAAACAACTAATGTTCTGATATTATCACTCATGCTAGACATGGCTAAAAAAATGTTGATTCTAGTGATTCCGACCACATCAACCGTTTCGAGATCTAACCAACACAGCAGCCAAAATCTATGCATCTGTCAGACTACCAACAATCAAACTACTATGGACTGCTACCCTGTTGACCCCAAGACTGGCGGGGGGGGGCAAAGAATCTAACCTCTACCCTACACTGAAGCCAATGCTCTGCAACTTCATACAACAGTTTGAGCCCTTACTTCAATAGAGCATCAAAACCAACACCAAATACTAAACACAGCCAAAACACACACACACACTCTTAATGACATCTTTTCTGCGCCACATTAGCTACTGTGCAGTAATTAATGGGAGAGTCACGCCGTTCAAAGAGACAGTCTTCTCTCTACAGACTAAAAGCTGTACAATGGCTTAATGAGTAAACAAACTGCGTGTCTCATGAATACATTATTTTTGCCTTGCCATTCATTTTACCAACTGAACTTTGAAATCACACAAACAAAAGCAGAGTGTTGTCTTAAAGGAGGGGGTTGGGCAAGATAACTTGACAACAAGTTTGTGTGCGTGTGTGCCTTGCATCATCGTGCAGTATGATCATTCCATCATATGTTACTTTGCTGAATCTGTTTTCACTTAAAGGTCGACGTGTAAGATAATCTTTTGTTGTTTGAGTGTGTTTGTATGGGAATGTTTCGGCGACTGTTTAACAGTACAGTATGTGTGCTGCGGTGTTTGATATACAGGGAACTTACTGAAAGCAGCTTCCACGTAATCGGTCGGACCTGTCTTGGGATTCCCGACCAGCTGAGTTTCCGTAGCTCCTCTGAAAAACAACAACACAAGAGGGTCCAATTTGAGATTCACCAAGGAAACATTTTGCAGAAACTTCAATAAGTCCTTACAGAGTATTTGCAGTTTTTACCAAATGCTAAATGGTAAATGTTCCTATACTTAACAGTGCACTGCATGTCACATTCTGAAATAAAATGCGTCCCGTTGGCTTTATGCTTACGATACAGCCACCAGTTTCCCAGCTCCAACTCCTCAGAGATCCATTTTAAGCACAAAAAAAAAAAAAAAAAAATTTCCCAGAGTGAGCAGACATACAGGATGACATGATCATCGTTGACTTACAGGCTAGATTGCGGATGTCATTTCATTAACGTGATGCTTGCTCACCTCTCAGAAAACATATTTGACTCTCCAGGGCTCATATTGTGCATTTGGAATGAGACAGGCATTCCCTATATCAACTGAAATAAATTAGGCATTTTATGACGTTTTCAAAATCAAATCTGTGGTCAATGCTCAGCAGGTACTTCTTACAATGTGGCCAAAAAACATTTCTGAGATTGTGGCAACAAGGGACAAGCTGTCCCCTTCAGATTCAGAGAATACAGTTAACACCAACAAACCATTTTAAACTCAAAGCACTTTTACACCAGATGTCACAGCTACCCATTCAGACATTTACACACTGATGGCAGAGGCTGCTATGTAAGGTGACCATCAGAAGTATCTAATCCCATTCGTACACATTCATACACCGCTGACAAAGCAGCGGGAGCAACTCAGGGTTAAGTGTCTTAACCAAGGACACATCGGATATTTGGCTGGAGGAGCTGGGGATCAAACCCCCGACAGTTGAGGGGCGACTGACTATACCAACTGAGCCACTTTTAACTTGTATTTTCACTTTACTTATCAAACTGTATTGCTCTATAATGCACCCAAAGATGCACTTTTGCATCACGCACTAAAACGCTGATCTGTTAAAGTGTGAACGTCCATTTACTGATACTAAACATCCAAGTGCATGTTTTCCAGTTTTCCTCACACAGCTTGTCATTCCAGTGACCCTCTGGATCTTTCAAACACTAAAGGCTCCTCTCAGCTGAGCACAATCGCCTCTCTCTGCTCACTCTCACACAGCCAGCAGGTGCCGGTTGAGACAGACAGACGTCTAGCCTATTTATTCTCATCCTCATATTGATTTGAATCAGAGGAGAATGCTTCTTAATTTAATTCCCTTCAGCAATAGAAAAGCAGAGACGGACTGAAGACGCATCTGGTGGAATTAAGGAGTTAGGTTCTTGCTACAAACCACCATGCAGTATTAGCAGTTAAGTTAGGGAACAACATTAACACTGAGTATGCAAGAGAGTGTGCATACATGTGATGAAAGGTAAATGTGAAAGTTTGTGCTTGCACTTCCTTCATTTCTGCCTGTCTACCTGCCCCGTCACTCACTCTACCTGCCTGTGTGCTTGCTTCTGCATGAAGGCGGAGAAGAATAAAAGACAGGGAGAAGCAAAGATGTGCTGTCAGTCAGTGCTGGCTGAGCAGGGAGCTGATGAGAGCACGAGGAAAGACGCTTGACGGACCGTAGCCATGCACTATTCAGTCATCATTCAAACGGAGCGCGACCACTGGGGCAAAACACCACAAGGATCTTGGCAACACACGCACACAAACTTACCAAATCTGAGGTTTTTATTTATTTATTTATCTAGCAACAGGAGCTGCCTCGGCAATTCCAAAAACAAGACCGCACCACATTGGTTTTCACATTACCCTACATGGCACAATAATCAAAAATCTTATCTTTTACCTTAAATATGACAATGATAGTATCTATGCTTAAATTGAAATGCTGAATTTTGAAAATGAAAAGTCATAAAAATATCATATGTATTCAAATATTACAATGTGTGCCAGTACTGTCTTTGAAATAATTGATGTAACAACCATTAAAGGAAGAATGTCTGACTTTTTGATCCAGTAGATGTCGCCCTTGAACACCAGCATGAAACCAAAACAAACCACTGTTTGGCGACACCTCCGCTATTCTGAAGCACACTTCGGTTAACTCAGCCTCATATTGCACATAAATTGACACGGAATGACAGTGATCTAAAGACGCTTACGTGACATCCAAATAAGCAATGAGTAGGATTTGTTATTTTCTCTAGTCCTTGACTAAAATAGCTTTATACACAAGGCCGTTCCTTCCACATAAACATGTAAACACAGCTTCAACAACAAATACAGCTGGTGGGACTCATGCTTCTCACTCATTGACAATCATGACTCAGAGAGACATTTACAAATGATAATATAACCCTTTGAAAGGTAGATCAACACAATCCCTAATTCCTTTGTTACAAGCATTGGCCCAGTGTCATCTGAGGCTCTTTGGTTACTAAGGTCAGAGTAATAATACAATCAGGATACACAAAATGCAAATGTATCGAAATGCTCCCTTCCTATACACCTCGACTCCTATGAGAACCCTTAAAAGTTGAACTCATCTAAAAAGGACAACGTGATGGCAACAGGGAGCAGGTGGCTCATAAACTAATGGGACTTGTAAAAAAATACTCCCCCCTGGATTATACTTGCTCAGGAAGGCCCAGATGGCAGGGATGGGACATGTAGCATAGACAAGAGTACCGGCATGAGAATAAGTGTGCGGAAGTGTGTGTAGTCACACAGACCTGAATACAGTCAGCTTTCTAATGCTTCCCATTACCTAATTCATATGAAGAACGTTCAGGAGTATCTGACCAGGTTACATCAAATCACACAATCTCTCTCTCCCTCACACACACACATACTCACACACCATTTCCAAAGCATATTGAACGGTAAGAATTGATTTCCAATGTCGGTGACAAGTAATAACTTTCACAAAAGATATCTGTGGTATATTATTTTCATTTTTTTTTTAAAGACAACGAACAAACCACTCCACTACAGAATGATATCACTGTGGATTTTTCCTTTCTTCATTTGAAAAGTATTACTAATTGTCCACTAGTAGCTATGGGAAGTAGTAGGAGTGATGTGTTAACTGTGAAATTCTCTTTGTGAAAACAAATATATCAGTATTACAAATAAAGAAATATTCATACTCCAGAACAGTGAACTTTGCAGGATAAGATCCCCATCTGCCCAATCCTCAATGTTCCATCTTGTCTTATCTTATCTACCCCCCTGCCTTCCAATATCAGCCTCATCACCCCCTACACAAAGCTTTTAGTTAATTATGTCCCATGAATGAAGTCCATCTTTCATGCTGCCAACAGCATGGAGCGTGGCTCGCCCAATTTGGGGTATCTAATCATGGAACAGAGACTTAACTAAATTTAGACAGCGGGGTTGAGATGTCAGGCCCTAATGGGGGATGACATCTCAAGACACTGCTGATATACAGTATACCCTCTGCCTGAGCTTACAGCAAGCAATGCTGGCTTGACAACTTGAGAGCCAGTTTGTTTTCAACAGTTATAAAAGGGATCACTTTCACCTCTAAAGGAAATCAATTTCTTATCCAAGTTGTTACTAGTTCTGCGTTAACACTGAATCAGTCCTCAATGTCAGAATAGAAACAGCCAGCTCTGTTCAAATGTTGCACGTCATGGATTCAGAAAGACTTAAATACAGACTTGATCTGTTGTTGTCACATCACATTCTGCTAGTAGGAGAAGTTGCTGGCTGGATCATAATATTCAACTTGACTATTTAGACATGCTCAGCTCATCAACTCACCCGATAACCACCTTTATGTAGTGAATCAACTTGACTAAAGTAAGTTTAGAGGACACAAAGTCAATTAAAGAGGGGGGGTCTGCAAGGATTTCATGGCCAGTGGGAACAAACCAAGTCTCTTGGGTTGGATAAACAATAAAGACCGGTCGTTTGGTCTGAACAAAGGCCTGTCATTTGCTTTGTTGTTGGTGATATTTTTCCCCTTGTAATCTACATGACCAGATGGCTGGATGACTTTCCAACTCACAGCATCGTTAAAAGTGCAGCACAGCTGGGAGACAGAGTGGTCGATCTAAAAGTGAGAGGCACAAGTAAGGGATGGCCCAAGGGGGTAAAAAGGGAAAGTTTAACTGGGCAAAAAAGAAAAGAACACCTAACAGAAGCTGAGATAAATAGAGTGAGACAAAGAAACGGATAAACAACAAGACTCTGCAAAAGCACACATCCAGATAACTGAAAACTTTAGGATGAGTATCTCTTACCTAGATCTGTGTTGGGCCCAGCCAACAACTGTTTGAACTTATCCAGACGGGATGCTTCCCTCTCAGTCATGGCCGGCGTGCCAGATGTGTTCTGGTCTGCCATGCGAGCAACAAGTGGGATTACTGGCGGCCGGTGGGGCAGAGACCGTTGTCTGTGGAGGGCTGCATGCTCACCTGCTGCATCTGGTGGGAGTGCAAAGATTAGGGACAAATCAGAAGGATTCCATAAAATAACACTATCAATAGAAGGCTTTCAAATGATGCTGCACAGGATCTTGTGGATATTTTAAATCCCTAGGTTAAACAAATAAAAATGGAAAATACTTTAATCATGATAATGAGTACACACATGCGTACTATACTAAGCAGAGGATTTTTAAGTTTCATGTGGGTGGGGATTATATATTATATCATGAAAACAGAAACAAAAATTGCAGTACTGTTTTTTGGGCACAGCCCTATGTACTGTAGCATTAAGATGATACTTCAAAGATAAATGACCTCAACCATGAGTAGTAAGGTAAAGGTATTTCAACATCATCTTCTAACATTAGCTTCATGTTTACTAATGTAGTTAACAAATGCAAGCTGAAAATTGCACTTCCAGTTTTAGCGAGCTGCTATGTCTTACTTTAAAAGTCGAATCTATAAAACACACAAAAACAACTAGTATTAAACTGTAGGTAACTGTTTTTTTTAGAGCCACTTTCATATATGACCTCTTGACAATTGTAGGACATTTGGGTCTTCAAATTTTCAGGAAGTGTTTTATCACACATCCAACACTGTGAGGGGATTTTATTTTTGGAATGGAAATTAACAACTCAAAATTTTGTCATAATACAAATAAGCCATGTAATGGTAATTCAACTAAATATTAGGAGCTATAAGGAACATAAAGGAGGACTGTGATTTCCACTTGTCATTCCCGGTATCCCCTGCATCTGTAGTTACAAGTAAGTAAGTCAAAAAATGTTTGTACACAAGAAGAGGTTACCTCCTCTTCACCACCATCACAGATACAGAGGTTGTTCAGATGATTGTAAAAAATGTAAACGAGACGTAAGGCTGGATTTAGTGTAAGGCTGGATTTATGTGGTTTATGTGTCAAGGCAAACGGCAAAATATGTTCATCCAGTCATGCAGACTTTTTCCTGCCAGCCCTTTAGTACATTATTTGCATAATGTCAGGTTGAGGCATTGTGTGAAAGCAAAAGGGAATAGTCTGGAATGATGACCTTTATTCACGTTGAGTGATATTGACAATGCTGATACTATCTTCTCTTCAAACATGGCCATTACTGACAATCACAACTAAAACAGCATTGCCACCTTCAACACACCTACACTCCAGGAACAGACAATGCTGACACCACCACATGACACCTAATGGCCCTCTCTACCCAAAAGTGGAACCAGTTGGGCATTGCGGGCTAGCACATCCACAGGGTTATTTAGTGGGCACATCTCATCACAGGTGTTTCATTAAGTTAGGCCAAAGACAGCTTGGAAAGGCTCAACAGCCTCAAGGGTTCAAGAGACACACCGCTCCTGTAATAACTGCCCACTATACCCATTTGTAGAACTTCTTTGAGCTATTGTATACTTGTGGAAAAAGAAAGTAACAAAAAGCAACCATCTCTTGTGCCAGCATATCAAATGAAAAAGAACAGCATATAAATACACAAGAAGAGGAAACAGAAAGGTCAGTAGAGAGTTGTTAGAAGGAGGCCAGGGGAGGCCTTTGACAATGTTTAATGTGAATGCTTGAATGCATCTGGTGCAGGATAAACCAGGTAAACAACATTCTTTTTTACTGAACCTGAACACAGCGAGCCTAGTTCCACAGTTGTCTACCTGGGATTTCTTTTGAAATAAAAGTCAGGACTCTATAAAAACAAAGCAACAGATGCATTTCAATTGGAGTATTTCTCCATCTGTTTCATGTGTGTACAGAGCAGCCCGACTTATTGATGCTGATGAATAGCTGCTTTCATATAATAAAGACTTTGCCCATTTTATACAAGATTTGTATTCATTATTTCTTTATATAAGAGCAAGGAAGAACATACTGACGAAAAGAAAACGTAATGCAGCCGTTTAATTAAGTGCATGGAGATCGTAGCGATCTAGTGCATAGAGTCTATGCATTGACTCCAGTCACAGAATATAAACATAACTCCCCTCTACAACTCCAAATTATCATTACCATTCATAAGTCAAAGGCGTTTCATACCAAATTTGATGGATTCAATGAAGTACCCGTTCAAGTGCGGTCCTTAAAATTGTAGAACGTAACCTTTATTTACAATTTAATGGTAATCTGTTTCAACTGGAAACCTTGTTGGTGCTCAGGCCATGAAAACAACTTAACTAATGGTAAAACTTAAGGACAGGTGTAGGGCCAATGGTGAGGACTGCCATCAATTTAAGACAGCTCTCCATAGTGGCCCTATACACAGGTATGCTAAAAGTAAGGTGAGCCAGAACGTTTTTTTGGGACATTGAGAAATTGTGTTCACTGACCTTTAGGTGACCCTATTGGAGCTTCGCTGTGGGACTTCACCAGGCGGCTATCAGTGTAATGGCTGCTTTGGGAGGCAAATGACACCTCTGGACTTGTTACGTATCCTTCTCCCGACCTGTTCTCCTCATCTTCTTCCTCCTCCTCCTCATCCTCTCCTCCTCCTCTTCCTCATCATCCTCCTCCTCCTCTTCTGCCACCTCTTCCTGAGTGTCCTCTTCTCTCTGTTCCAGCTCTGATGTGTCATCCAGCCTTTGCCTCTCCTGTTGCTTGCTGTGGTTCTCAATCACCTGCTCGGATGAAAAAAAAAAAAAAAAAAAAAAGAGATTGCTGTTAACTATAAACTAAATGAGACATGTAATGATGTGTATTTCTTTCTTCTGATAAATGCAAACCATATAGTTGAACATTGAAATTTTCCATGTTTCTACATTTATATGAAAAGACCATAATCAATAATGGGAAACATCCTTCTGTATTGACATATCTCAAAAGGAAAGCAGTGATTTAAACATTTTAAAAACCTTAGGACACATTTTATAACAACTTTTCATATTTACAATGTCAGGAAAAGATCATTTTCTACATAGAATTAAAAAAATTTGAAGAATGAGGGAGCTCTACATCCATGGGAATGCATTGCTTTTGGATGACATTAAATTCTGTGTGAGGCCCCTATCATTTGAAAACTGACAAACTTGAATGTTTTGTTACAAGCCGCAGCATCTCGTCGTTCACCTTATTGGCTGTCTCCATGACCACCTCAATATTAAGGTTCTGTGCAGCCATGGCCAGCAACTCGTCATCATCGTCCCCAACATCCCACGCGTCACTCGTGATGCTCTCGAACTCCTGGAAGGTGGTAGCCTTCTTGGGCTTGTTTGGTGTAGCTGGAGGAAGCTTGTTTCCTGCTTTAATTAAGCTTCAGGACAAAGAAGAAGAAGACAGAAGATGAGAAAAGATGATAAGAGTCAAGTAAAAGAAGAGAAATGATGGGGAGCAGGGGCAAGGGTGTAGTAGAGAGGAAAAGGTGAGTAAATAGATGCAAGTAATTACACAAAATGCGACAACAACATTTTTAGGTGTGTGTGAGTCATCTCTACAGACCTTTAATCTTAAGACCTGAATCAAAACCGCTCCTTTTTTAATCAAAACAACACGGAAAAAATCTGATGGGTGATCTAACACAGCTTTAGGTAAAAAGCTCATGTAAATGAGAGAGATTGCATGTGAATGCGGACAGGAAATGAGGAGAGAGAGTGTGGATGACATGCACAGAACAGTGTCTCCTGGCGACCAGCAACCAGTGCAGCGAGGACTATAACCTCTGTACATCGGTCGCCTGCTCTACCAAGTGCAAAACCCAATCAGTGTTTCCCCTAGGTTTACAGCGTTGGAGGGGGGCGGGGGGGACACGCCGACACAAACACTTGAAAGGAATCTTGGTGTTCATGCGTTACTTTTAATGACAGCTGTCCATTTCTATCGGAAAGAAATCCTTAAATGACTTCTTTCCCTGATTACGGATTCTATCCACTATCATATCTCTACAATAAATATAATGGTAGGGGAAACACTGCCAATTTTTTTTTTTTTTCTGTATTTCAGAAAAAAACAGATTGGGAGGACAATGGGATGGATACAGAATAAGGTGCTTTGATAAGGGAAACAATAACAAAGAAAGGGACTTGGCAACATTTGCTTTCTTCCATCATAAATCAGAGAAATTAAAATAGACTGAAAATTTGCAATGAAAACAAAAAAAATGAAATCAAAATCAACCCTATGTGGTCAAATATTATGCTTGGGCTCACTGCCCTCCTACATCTGTAACCTAATCACACGGAGAAGTGTTGATTCTTACGGTTTGCGTTTCACATGATCAGTTGTTGCTGTCTGTTCCATTTGCCCGCACAGAGCTGGGAAAAAAAGGGCTTTCGTCTACTCTGCTCCTTCTACATGGAACACGCTGCAAAAAGACTGTAAAAATAACTGAACTGATTTCTTTGAATGCTTTTAAATCCAGGCGGAGAGCACTTGAGACAACCTCCTTCACTTGTAACCGTTTTTTATAATTTTAATTGCTTTTTATAATTTTAATTGCTTTTTATAATTTTAATTGCTAATTGTTTTTTTTATAATTTTAATTGCTAATTGTTTTTTTTATAATTTTAATTGCCAATTGTTTTTTTTTTATAATTTTAATTGCTGTCTGTATGTTGTGAGTGTGACTGTGTAACTTTTGCTGCACTCTTGGCCAGGACTCCCTTGAAAAAGAGGTTTTAAATCTCAATGGGACTTTCCTGGATAAATAAAGGTTCAATAAAAAATATATATTTATAAAACATGAAGAGATAACAGATTGTGAGGGTATTGTGTTGCAAATGTCAGATGGAGGAGTTGCAAATGCCTGTTTGGGAGGAGGCTGAAGGTATTCTACTGACTCTCATTATGAATTAGGATGGAAGAAGGAAGATAAGCATTTCGCTATAAACACTAAGAGCAGTGCATGGTTAAATGTTACAGCACCAATGTTACTGTATGTCCATACATGTCCAAACAAATAAATAAATAAGCCTTTGTGCTGTGCTGAAGGAAAGTCAACTTCAAATAGTGTCACGCAGTTTGTTTGTTTTTTGCAACTGAAGTAAAAGCATAAAAAGTTCATTGCAAACTACACCAATTGTCCAAGTGTTCTCCACTAACATACGGTGGCATTTACCTTCGGAGAAAAGGTGCATTTTACTTACTTAGCATGAAGAAGCGGGTCGAAAGGTGGATGTTGTGCGCCATACACATGCTGAATGCTGAGGAAGTACAGAGAACATTAAGCGAATAAAACACCACTAGGTCATACTAAACACACTCCACCAAATGTGATGAAAACGACTTCGAGTTGCTGCAGGACCACAGCTAGTCGGTTTCACGTCATGTCTGCTGCAACACAAGTGACGACTCTGTGATTGCAGTGTGGTTTTAATTGCTCAACTGTTAGCCGATGTTAGCAACACAGCTCTTCTTGGTCTGCTCACATTAGGGAGGTGTAAACTGCGTAATTCACAACAGACACTGGAGGTTCTGTCGTGAACTTTGTGTTGTGCCACACACAAGCTCGTTTCTGCACCCTGAAAGTTGTGTTTGGAGTTCAACAGTGTAGCGTCAGGCTGAGTAAAGGCTAGCTGAAAGCTAAGCTAACAGGAGGTAACACGTCACTCACCTGCCGGGAACCTTCGCTGCGTTTCTTTTCCAGAATTGTTTTTTGTTTCCGTCACTTGACATTTTCCTCCTATGGTCCAACAAGTCTTGGACATACACGGGTGAATGCCGTCGCTTTGTGTACAACTGGGAATTTATGTTTATTTACACCAGGCTCCCTCCTCCAAAACTCAGAAAGCTGCCATGTTGATAGTGTCCAATAGACGAGCAAAGCGCTGCTGTGATTGGCTGAAACAACACTTCCGCGTTGTGAGCAAATTACAAGTGAGATCCACTGCTAGGTGGCATGGGAAGGTGGTGACGTAATGACCCACGGTTTTTGCTTGTAGCCTACATGAGGAAAAGAAAACTATTAAGATTTTAACCATTGCCATTGTTTCATTACAATGAAACATAAGCTGCAGTTTAATAGTTCAGTGAGGTTTATTAACGTCTTGAACGATTTAATTTTATATAGCCTAATGTGATTATTATGGAAGCCCATTTCCGCCAGTTAAAAAAATAAAAATGAAAATAATAAAGTCATAATTATGAGATAATAAAGTCATAATAATGAGATAAAAAAGTCGAAATGAGATAAAAAGTCAAAATTATGAGATAAAAAGTCATAATAATGAGATAATAAAGTCAAAATTATGAGGTAAAAAGTCGAAATGAGATAAAAAAAAAAGTCATAATAATGAGATAACAAAGTCAAAATTATGAGATATAAAGTCATAATAATGAGATAATAAAGTCAAAATTATGAGATATAAAGTCATAATAATGACTAATAATGAGACTTAATTGTTTTCATTTTTATTTTTTTTACTGGCGGAAATGGGCTTCCATAGATTATGGCACGTTTCAAAAGATGCAGTGGCATTTAAAAAAAGAAAAAGGATTAGTGTGATGAGTGTTATGGATTGCATGTTTTCATTGTAAGACTCCGCAGATCCCGCAGATTCCCTCAATTCTTTTAAATCCCTTCTTAAAACATACTTTTACAGACTTGCTTTTATGTGATGTCGTCTTCTTAATGTCTTTTCTTACTGGTTTGACTATTTTTTATCTTCTTATACGTCTTACTGTTCTTTTATTTATGCTCTTATCTCGTATTTATGCTAATATCTTAAATCCTCTTGTGTTTTAACTTGGTAATTTCTTATCTTACTTACTTTGTCTATTTATGTTTCATATTTATATTTACTTTTTATTTTTATTAATATTATAGTTTTGGGTTTTTTGATCCTTTAACCACTTGTTTCTATTTCTTTTACTGCTCTTACCTTCTTATTGCTGTTATCTTTTCTTTTTTTTCAGCTCTTTTAGTTTCTTACATATTTTTAAATCTTTGCTCTCTTGGTCTCAGCTCTTGTTGTTGGGTTCTTGTGTTTCCTGGGTTCTTATGATGGTTCTTGTGATGGTCGGGTTATATATGTCTGTTGGGTATCGTGCACTTTGGGTTCTTTTCTGTTGAATTGTATTTAATTATTTTTAGTATTTTGCATTTGTTATTTCTTACTGTTATTAATGTTCTTCTGTGTTTGGTTTAGTTTGCTTTGTTTTGTTTTTGCTGTTTGTCAAAGCACTTTGTAAACCTGTGTTTTTAAAAGGTGCTATATAAATAAAGTAATCATTATTATTATTATTATTATTATTATTGTTATGCCACTTAACTTATTTCCTACTTCATGAGTAGGAGCTCAATAATACGATTTTTATGTAAATGTAAAATGTCATGTTTTCATCGGGATGAAATATATGATGAAATGGAAAAGTTATGAAGCACATGTCAGTAACAAGGTTTGACTTTAGGCCAGGTTGTTGGGTTTTTTTTGCAGGAGTGACTGAAACCCATTCCTTTTAAATATGTTAGTACAAACATGTTGCATTTCCAGATGTGAGAATTTAAAGGGTTATTGCAATATATAACTTTACTTATTTTCACAAAAAAAAAACCAGTGTGTTTTGGGCAATTGTTAGTATGACCAAGCATTTAGTTCGGAAGTTCAGACAATTATTGTCCCTTCTCTTCCAGGGACAATAAAGGTCTGAACTTAGTTAATGAAAACATCATTAATCTGCCGTCATATTTGTTAAAAAATGGGTAAACAATTAGACTTTTATGACTATCTCATACTCCGCCCTTACTTTGCAGCCAACAGACCAAAGAGCATTGCGTAGTATATCAATCCCTATAGGGTAAAGAGACGCGGGAAGAATATTTATGAGGAGAAGGGGGCTCCACTTAAACACGTGCATCGCCGCTGACGTGATTGGTGGGTTCCTAACTGTGTTTTAACATTTAAATAAAAAATTATCATTTATAGCTATACATAGATTTCCACTGGCACTGTGGCCTATCACTGGGACCACAGAGGCTTGCAAGGATTTAATATGGCTTATAGTGTCATTAATCATGCCAACGCCTTAATGGAAGCGCTGATAGTTGATAAGCTTGGGAATCCAAACACATCAATTATTCAATAAGTGTTTGCTACAGCTTCACATATTCCTGCTTGAGGAGTAAAGTCAACTAGAAAAAATTGCATTTACCTGCGGAAAATGCGTGTGAATGCTGACGGCTGAAATGTTTTGCAAAACACTGCTGAATGAAGAAGAATCAGCAGAAGATGAAGAAAAAGTAGAAGATTAGGAGTAAGAGGACAAATGGCCGAACGCGTCGATGTGATTTTCATGTCTGGGGTCCAAGAAATGTGGAAACCACAGCGATTTGAAAAGTTAGTCCCAAGAGGTGTGGTCAGTGAAGTCAGGCCTAAGTTTAACATTAGCCCAGATGGAGATTTCTCTGGACCACCTGCCGCTTTGAAGCTCGCAGTTAAAAACATCACAAAGATCACCACAAATGCTTCCAGCATTCACACTAATAAAATTGCTTGCAGTAGGATAACAATAGTGTGAATGCTTCCAGCTTCACACTATTGTTGTCCACTAATTCCTTAACTTGGGAGAACCCTGTGAAATTGGAGGAGACAAACAAAGTACTCAAGAACAGTAAATCTACTTAAAAATGGTACCTGGAGCGCATTTTTCATTACACTATTGACAAATATGACAGTCAAGGCAACATGCAATGATTCTTTTATTTAAAGTCAAATGGCTACTCTGTGTGTGGTGTGAGGATCATTTGCAGTTGGGTCTAAAGAGGAAAACAAAATAAGAATATTAACATCATAACCACATCCACTACAGGAACAAGTGCAGGGGGAAGATATATTTCTGTGGTATGAAGCTTTCAAACATCACCTTTGACCTTCCATGCGCATCTTTTTTTCAATCTGTCACCTTTGCTTTCAGCATTCACACTAATAATATTTTTTTTTTTGCAGTAGGATAACAATATCACATCATAATAATATCACAATAATGTTGGTAATTTGATCAGATGTCACATCAAAGGAGGTTTCCTCACTGGGTTTCACTCCTAAATTTTTGCTTCCTACAAAAAACAGTTTAGTTTTAAACTTCATTATTGAATAATAAAATAAGTAATCATTTGTTTATTAGTAAATTTAGAAAATGTTATAAAATCTAATCAGTAATGTTTATTGTCCCACCTATATGCTGGAGTGACCTTACAGAAAAAAACAAAAAAACAGAACATCCTTCCAAGAACACAAAGACTCATACACTGATACTGTTAAGATGGATTTTTGTTTTTAATAGGTTAGAGCAAAATGATGCAACCAGAATCAAGATTAAATTAAATGAATATATCATGAAGTCAAATTGAATTTTTTTTGGCCAATTTAGAGTCTCCAATTCACCTGAGCTATGATGATTGTGGGAGGAAACCGGAGCACCCCGGAGGAAACCCACGCAGTCACGGGGAGAAAAGTCCCCACAGTCAGTATAGCAGATTTTCAAGCAGCTGAGATGCTGCTTGAAAAGCTGCTCCTTCTTTCTGTGAGTGGGAAAGTCTTAACCACAGATCACCCCCGTGCTGCCCTGCTTGCTATACTTAACTGGGAGATATCTCCTTCTCCTTCTTGTTGTCGCCTACGCCCTCCTCATCTTCTTCAGGCTCTTCTCCAGGTAGATTCGATCCTTTTGCTCGACAATGCTGCCCCACAGAGTCATGAAACCGTCCTGAAGAGCGAATTCCTGCAGAATGGCCAGTCCGTGGGGCCTGCAAAGACATACGCCTCTTATTTAGTACTTTATTAACTTAGCAGAAGATTGAACAGAGATACTTTTTAAAGGAGAAAGAACCAGAAGCCATTGGATCACACAGCTCTGAACCTTTCGAACTAAATGGACAGCATCATTTCTCACCTGACTTTGGCCGAAGAGTCCACCGCCATCTTGTTGACAGCGACCACATAGCGATGGGTGAAGGTTCTTCCTGCGGTCAAGATGTGCTCCGCTCCCAGTCTGTCAGCCAGCTGGTGGAGCTGCTGAGCTGAGCTGGCTCTCACTGCAGGGCACAGGTGGCTGAAAAAACAAGACAGGTATTTGGTCATTTTGATTTAACAATTTTCTTTACAAATGCTACTTCTACACATATTCATACATAGTATCTGATCATCAATGTGGACTTACCTCAGCCCTGTATTTAGCAGAACGGCCAGCACTGGACCTGGGCTGCAGTTCTGCACCAGCGCCTCCAGGGCTATGTTGGTCTGCTGCTGAAGGAAGGTATTTACACTGGCCTGTGCGATCTTCAGCAGCAGAGCTTGGCCTGTCATCTCCACTTGAACATCCATGTCTGTCTTCATATACACATAAAGATACACCATGGTTTCCAACGCTACACTGGCCACAGACGAGCGCAGATTGGGAACCTAAAAAAAAACAAGAACAAACATCACCAGTCAGTGGTCGTACTTCTCCCAGACACATTGGAATATGATTATTAATTGACACATGTAAACAAAGTGATAGAACGACTTCCGTACCTCTCCTGTCACTGCGTAACACAATTCACATAGTTTGGTTTCCACAACTTCTTGGTGGTGCTGCGCCAGAGCTTGGACGATCTTTAACCCGGCTGTCTTCTTCTCCCTGTGATAAAGAAACACAGTGGTTACTTTCACTGTAGGTTTTAATCACTTTCAGCCAAAACTGCATCTGCAAATGTTGCCACATGAAACCTGATGTATATTAAACACAACTAAGTGCCAGTTATTTACATGATAAGATATTAGAGCTGACTGCATGCTGAGCTGTTCAAAGTAGAATTTTTTTAGAGAACA